GGGGGGGCTCCGATGGCAGCCGACTGTCAGGACGTTATCCAGACCTGACCAGCCTCGACACACTGGCTAGTAGACGTGATTAGTTAACGTCCATGAAGGGTGGCCCTGAGGCCTTGCATTCCCCGATAATCTGAGTTTCATCAGACTTCGCCACGTAAGCCATGCCTGATAGCAAACAGGATGCCCATCCATCCACTGAACTAATCAATTTTTTGAACTATGATTGACGCAGGCACGTGGCCAAGAGGTGGGGCCCAGGCAGCACGCCCATCCCTTGAATCAAGAGGTGTGTGCTAGATATGGGGCGATTTCGCAGGAATTCGGTAGATATGGAGTGATTTCCCACGCATTCGGTGCAAATCAACAGCAGCTCGAGCAAAATTGTACGATCTCCCGAGGAAAATCGTGTCCATGCACCTAGATTGATATGGGTTTTCTCGAGTAATCCAAAAACGCCAAAGTTGTTTCAAAATGAAAAAGAACGATGCTATCTAGCAATAAACTTCACTTTGAAATTTGCTCTGGACGTTTCAGAGCCGGGCCATTTTTGTTTTCTTCTTCTTTTTTTTGCCTCGTACTGAAATGAATGGCTGAATCTGCCCCTATTTCTATTTTGAATGTCATCAAGCTGCCATCATGAGCTGACATAAGCTTCTTCCCAACCATTTAAACCACCGATTGATTCAGAATGTCGTGAAGTTAGCAAAAATAGACAGGCAGTTAGATGATGGTGGCGAATGGCGATGACACCAACAGGGCGTTTCTGTAATAAATACAACTCCCTAAGCGTATCAATGCGAATGGATGGTTTGCGTTCATGAGATTGACATAATGTTACAGTTTGAGCCATCCGACCGTCGCCAAAGGATATCGGGCTGGAGGGTAATCTTCCGCTGCCGCTGCAAGGGGTGACCAACGATCAAACATCACATTATCAGCCAAGCAAACCAACAAACCAGAGCAAACAAAGCAAACCAACGACGAGCAAACCGGAGCTGAAATCAGGTAACGCCGCCAACATCAGCGGATAACCTCACGGCCAGTGTTCAAGAAGCCACGCAGTTAGGCAATCACGCAATGACGGGTGCGCCACGCAGCAAATATTTGGAAGTCTCCATGAAGGAATTCGCAACTTCAGATGTCCGTGATCACAGGGTGCCGTGCCGTGTAAGCTCCCAGTGGACTGCCGTGGTGTCGTCGTCACGAGGCCGCGCGGAGCGGTGCCGGAGCAGTGGCGACGGTCTCACGACGCGTCAGTCTCTGACCCCCAGCGGCGCTCGGCGGCGACGACTACCTCAGTGCGTGGCTCCAGAGCTGCATTACGCCGCGGGACAGGGAATGGCACAGGTCAATCCACAAGACCATCCGTCTGACCAGGCACACTCCAGAGCGAAGATAGCTCCTGGAGATCCAAGGAAGGCTGCCGCCTCCCCTCGTACCCAGGCGGCATGGCTTTCGCAGCGTGCAAGTGACGAAAATGACCCGACGCAAAACATCGGCGTCACGTCAATCTGAGCTTTGGCGGTGAGGTTTGCGGCGGGGGTTACTGCGGAACAGTCAGAGCCCTGACCGCAGGAATTGTGAACTCGAGCTCTCCTAGTCTGTCAACAGCATTGTTGTGGGATAAGTGGGAATTTTAATGCTGCAGCTTGTCTTGTTTTGCTGACGCCCGAATTCCGAAGGTGTGTCTTCCGCGCGTTTCAAATTCTTTGGCGATTGTAAAGACGGAAGATTGTGGTAAGTACGTACAGTTAGGCACGCGCGAGCCAGCGACCAAACGAGTGAAAGAGAGATAAAAAAAGGAAGAGAAAGAGAGAGAGAGAGAAGGGGGAGAAGAAAGAGAGACAAATGGGGAGAGAGACAGAGAGACAGAGAGAGAGGGGGAGAAAGAGAGAGAGAAAGAGGGAGGGGGAGAGAGAGACAGAGAGAGAAAAGAGAGAGAGAGGGGGGAGAGAAGAGAGAAAGAGGAGAGAGAGAGCGAGGGGGGGGGGAGGACAGAGAAGAGAGACAGACAGACAGACAAACCGACAGACAGACAGACAGACAGACAGACAGACAGACAGACAACAGACAGACAGACAGACAGACAGAAACAACAGACATACAGACAGACAGACAGACAGACCAACAGACCAGACAGACAGACAGACAGACAGACAGCACAGACAACAGACAGACCAGACAGACAACAGACAGACAACAGAATACAGACAGACAGACGAACGACAGACATACAGACGACAGACACAGACATACAGACAGACAGAAGTACAGACAGACAGACAGACAGAACAGACAGACAGACAGACCTACAGACAGACATACAGACAGACAGACAGACAGACAGCAGACAGACAGACAGACATACAGACAGAGACAGACCGACAGACAGACACAGACATACAGACAGACAGACAGACAGACAGACAGACGACAGACCAGACAGACACACAGACAGACAGACGACAGACATACAGACAAAACAGACAGACAGACAGACAGACAGACAGACAGACAGACAGACAGACAGACATACAGACAGAACAGACAGACCGACAGACAGACAGACAGACAGACAGACAGACAGACAGACAGACAGATCAGACAGACATACAGACAGACAGACAGACAGACATACAGACAACCGACATACAGACGAAGACAGACAGACAGACAGACAGACACAGCAGACACAGACAGACAGAAAGACACAGACAGACAGACAGACAGACAGACAGACAGACAGACAGAGAGAGAGAGACTAGAGAGAGAGAGAGAGAAGAGAGAGAGAGAGAGAGAGAAGAGAGAGAGATAGAGAGAGAGAGAGAGATAGAGGAGAGAGAGAGAGAGAGAGAGAGAGAGAGAGAGAGCGAGAGAGAGAGAGAGAGAGAGAGAGAGAGATAGAGAGAGGGAGAGAGAGAGAGAGAGAGGAGAGAGAGAGAGGAGAGAGAGAGAGAGAGAGAGAGAAGAGAGAGAGAGAGAGAGAGAGAGAGATAGAGAGAGAGAGAGAGAGAGAGAGAGAGAGAGAGGAGAGAGAGGAGAGGGATGAGGGAGGGAGAGGGAGGGGAGAGAGACAGAGAGAGAGGCATGTAGAGGCATGTAGCAACGTGACGCTGACACAAGCGAGCCAAGAACATCACAGTCACATTCTAAATTAAGGCAGGGAAATGGGAACATGAATCTGCGATTTCACGGCGATAAGTGTCCATTTGAAAAAAAACAACACTTTCAAAGGAATCGCATTGCTTCGTTTTTATATTTGAGTAGAAACTTCGGGCTCCAGAAAAATATTTCCAGTATAAGCAAATCCCACATAACTGAAATATATCCACCTTTGAGCTTATTTTGAACCGTAATGCTAATTCCACATCGTCATGATGCGAGTTGGGCCCGCATTATGCACTGTACCCTGCTCTGCGTTATGGTCGTGCAAGTGTCAAAAACTGGCAGCGGTAGGGGAGGGCCGCTAGTGAGAGAACATTTACCACATGAATCATGGGAGCATAGTCGTACGCAGCCCAATAGATTGTCAAAACAAATTTTTGATTGGCTCAGCCTGTTCAAAAACATCAAACCGCAAGGAAAGCAGGAGGCATCATCCACATCAACATCTGGAAACGGAAAGCTGCTTTGTGCTTGTTGATCAGCATTTTGGATTAATTTGATTGTCGTCGCCTTTGATTTGTCTCCGAAGGTCACAGGCAAACCCAGGCCGTGGACCGCCATTTTACAAATGCTTCGACCGATTTGCGGTGATTTGGGTAATCGGGATTACACTGAAGTTCCTTCGCATGACCTTCAGATTTTCTTTTATCGAGACTCGTGTCCGCATCCCAATATCCGCCTGCAAATCCCCTCAGCTGGCGATCTCAAGTATGTGCGGTAAGGGGAGCGGAAGCCACCACACGGAAACCGAGAACTCTTATGCGCAGTCACTCAACCGAAGGCTCATCCGGCCTTTTCTTCCCCTGTGAACGGACTCGGCGTGTCAACGGCAGGTGAGGGCTCAGCTGGCCGTCATGTCACCGCTGGATCTATTGAATCGCGAGCACGAGGCGCGGGTAAGTCAGCGGGGATAAGCCGGGAGGGGAGGGGGACTGATCGCTCACACCTAGTCTTGACAGGAGATAACCAGATGAGCAATAGAGCCGCTAGGCCGCTAACTCGATTATCGTCGGCTTCTGCTACACATGCAATCTGACGTTTACTTCCCATATAATCTGCAAGGAAAATGACGGAACGAGCTTGCTGACATCGGCGGTGAAAAGCGACGCTTGGTCCAGTAGGCGTAGCCCGGCATTCGCCGTAGTTCACCCGCACGAGTACGTAGGCCGGGAAAGCAGCTGTCGTCCACCGCTGTGGCGCAGACGAGTCATGCACTGCTGAAATGGGCCTGCGCAGGGCTTCCGACGGCGCCAAATTTGGCACGCGGCGCACTCAGTAGCTGCAGGACACCACGTTGCTACTTTTATCAAAGCAGCCTACATGGATTTACTTGCCTCAAAATAAGGCACGGGGCACAGTGCAGGAGCTATATGCTGCTGGTAGCGGTAATGTCATCACCATTTACGTAAGGCTTTTATTTGATCTTCTTAAAGCAAATTCGGGTAAGTGTTCACCTTATACATGCTTTCCTATTTTCAATTTAACCTACGCGGCAGCCATACGCTAAATACGGAGCGCGGGCAAGCGGCAGGTGCTGTTCAGCATCGGCACTGCCTTGTCACTAATGGGCCTCCTGATGTGCTAGCGCAGTTAGTAGTAATGGTACGCCGGAGCCAGCAAGGTTTGAATACTCCACAGCTCTGTGTACGTGCAGTAAACATTACTTCCAAAGCACTTTGTTGGCAGTGTACAGGATTAAGCTTCTGCTTTTTACCGGCACGTACATAAGCGTTGGGCCCGGGAACAAATGCGCGATTAAGTTGCTTCTTCTTAAGCTGGCTAACCAGATTTTTCAACAATGCTTCGTCAGATCTCGCTAAGAATGAAAGGCTTGATAGCAACAATCACGACTGTATTATTTTGTATGATTTCGTGCAGGTACAAAGCACTTCAGGGCGAATTCATCTGCAGAACATTAACTACAAACAATAAATTTGAATGAACCAGTGGAAACCAACGAGCACAACGCATGCTCAAAATATTTACGCAACATTACGCAAAACATTGAAGGGCGTCCGCTGCTTCTGGTGAGAACAGGTCCCGCTACGTGAGGAACTAATCATAAAATCATCGTAGTCTCGCTGTTACGGAGTGTAAAGATCTTATTTATGACATGATTGTCGCACGCTCTCTAAAACATCCGAATAAGGCAAACAGATTCCAGTTGCAGCACGACATCGAATGATCCAGTCTAGCGCTGGCACATGGCATGCATCCAGCCTAGTTTTCAAAGGTTAGGTTAGCTTTGCCCTGCGTGGCCTGATCTATGATCTTCGCAGCGGAAACCACACCATCCTGACGCACGACGTTGGCGTTCGTCACGCACGAGCCTGAGCACAGAGTGCTCCAACGTCGTCACAAGGTACGAACAGTGCAGCAGGCTACCACGACTCACCCGCTGGTAGGTCGCGTCGCGTCGCCGTCATCTGCACACAATGCTGCCGCCGGTGTCGTTCCACGGGCCGCTGCAGACTGCCTCCGCCGCTAGTACACCTTCAGGCGGCCGCGGTCGTCGAAGCCGGCGGAGTGGCCGGCGTTGCGCACTACGAAGTTGGTGGCGTCGTAGTGAAGGCGGCGCTCGCCGCGGCGCACGAAGATGTGCGGGTTCTGCCCCATCGAGGCGGTGGTGTGGATGAACGGGGTGGTGATGTTGGCTGTCCCTAGCGTAGACGAGGTGCGCAGCAGGCGCTTCCCGTTGTCACGCTGAACCCTGTTGACGAACGCCTGCTGTTATATTCACGAAAAGTTAGCTGGCTACAGTCGTGCGGCTCTAATCACGAGGGAAATGACAGAACTGACATCCATGTTCGCGACCGTGTTGCCAGAATTCGTTTGCGTCGGTGAACTTACACAAGCTTCACTTGTCCGTTGAGCTGCTGTGTGATGCGGACGCCTGCGACGTCCCAGACTTCGCTGCCGTCCTCGGCCACCCAAAACCTGCCGGCAGACAGTGCTTTGTGGTAAGATATCGCAGACAATCTGAAGGTCTCGTCAGCTCGGTAAAACTACGAGCGTTTCTTTCACTGTTTGACTGAGGTGTCATTAATTTAGAGACTCCTGACAGATCACACAAGGCGTCGCAAAAGACTGCTTTGTCACACAAAAAAACTATGGGGACATGGGTAGCGCGAGATAAAACGGGATAACATCGCAAAGGTCATAAGGAGTGGTGCGAACAAGAGCCACAATAGATTATGTTGCCTCTGATTTCCAGCCTCACACCAATGAAATGACAAGGTAATCACACACAAGCCTGTTGTCAATCATGTAGCAAATCCTGTGGCGAATGTCAAAAATGTTTTCTATCTGGACAGATCGAGGCACCGGAGCGCTGCTCAGGAGCACCATTTGTCAAAACAAACGGTCGTTTGAGGCTGCAGATTGGGACCGCAGGCACTTGTTGTGCAATGCTTTACCTTTCGCTAGATCAGGTAGCTTATCGTGCACCACAGAACGCGTGTGATAATTGGTGGATTATTAGCCCCAAATCGTTCATTCTTCACTCCTTTGAATATGACAAGTTCAATCGATGACGTATTGAGGCAGATTGCCAGACACCAGTAACGGTGGAGAAGAAAAGAGGCCTACCACCTCCCCTCCACTACCAAACGCCATTCAAGTAGTAAAATGTCCACATGCGCCAAATGATGGGTGTCCAAGCAACGTCAACACGTCGTGACAGAGCCTGACGCCGTCGTCGGGCCTGTTGTCCACCGTCCACCAGCCCGGCAACCCACCAGCTCCAGACACGCTATCTGCCGTCCCCAGGCCTGCTGTCCGCCGTCCAACATCCCGGCAAACCACTAGTTCCAGACCCACTGTCTGCCGCCCCCAGGCCTGCTGTCCGCCGTCCACCATCCCGGGTACCCACCAGCAACCCACCAGCTCCAGACCTGATATCTGCCGTCCCCAGGCCTGCTGCCCGCCGCCCAGCATCCCAGCAACCCACCAGCTCCAGACCCGTTATCTGTCGTCCCCTGGCCTTCTGTCAGCCGCCGCCGCCGCTCTCGCTCACCTGGCCTCGTCGATGGCGGCCAGACACTCGTGCACGCAGTCCGGCCCGTAGCGCGACTCCGAGTAGAACACGTCGAGCGAGAAGTCCCGGTTCAAGTCGGAGAAGGTGTCGGTGGTGGAGCGAGTGCCCGCCGCGTCCACCAGGTACACCAGAGCGCAGCTGTCCGAGGTGAAGCTGACACCCTTGTACCACATCTTGGCGTACCTGCACCACAGGTTACGCCATTACGTTAGGCAGTACAGCGTGATCGATCGCCCTATTAACGTCGCCGTTACATGTACACTGAACAGTGGCATGGGTACGTTTCCAAAGACATCAGTGGTTCATATCTGAAAACATTTGACCGTATGTACCGGGAGACACGCTGGAGTCAGTAGGCCATATAATACCACAGGTGCGCGGTCCCCGCGCCGGCGGTTATGAACGAACTGTGATACAGCCAGCTGGTCGTTCGTACCACGATGGCGAGCCGCGGAGGAATTCATGCGGTGTGAATTATTTGATGCGTTCATATTTATCATGCAAGTGCACTAGTCTGACCGACATTCCATCGTACAAGACACATGAAAAATGCAGAGCATGAGCGGCACGGATAAAAAGTGCGAAACCGCGATCGTCAAACATGGACGTTTCCATCGTCGTAGCACTTACGCTCCAATTGCTCTTAACTGACTCATTACGGTAATGGTATGCTTACTTGCAGTTGCCCTCGGTGTCGTTGGTCCGAATCTCCACCCGGCTGCCGTACTGGTACACCCGGCCGTTCGGGTGCATCAGCGCCACTGACGTGCCGGTGGCACTGATCGCCAGCACGATGTTGCTCTGGGAACGCGTGATAAAGCGTGTTCAATAATCAGGCGCTTCTTCACAATGATCGCAGTTTTCGGAAACGCCGACCTAGCATTTACTGTGTCGCTTTTGAGGCACACGCTAAAACATCATGATCAGTGGATAAGTGATGTGGTTCTCTGTCGCATGGGAGATGTGAGATGGGAAAAGAAACGAGCGTGTTAGTCATCTAATTTGTACAGTTTGTGAAATAGCACAATAGCAGTGCAAAATCTACTTCGGTTTTATATGTCATGCCTCCACAAATAAGTATCTATATAATATGCATGTTCAGCCTTATTAATTGATGACACTGCATGCTTTTATGGCATGCATTCATGCATTCGTGGTAAGGTTTTATGTTAAGCTTTATATTTCAACGTATCTACGGGCGGTTCAGTTGAATATGCCAGTGCATTCAAAGTTTAAGATCCGCGACTTTCAACAGCGCGTAACTATGACACCAGACATTCACACGTGATACTACAGCCGAGAATTCAGGCAGCTCAGCCGTAAGCAGAGAACTCCTTCGAACCGCACCAAGGCGCACAGCAACCCTACCTTGAAGTTGATGACGCGGACGGAGCCGTTCAGGGACAAGTCCACGCGCACGCGGTCATACAGCCGCAGTGTGATGGTGCCCATGGAGGTGGCCATGGGCCCGGTCTCCTCGGCGTCCTCACCGCCGGCCTCGTACTCGAGCTCGGGCCGCATCTCGCGGTCCATGTGAGCCGCCATCCGGCCTGCGGCGGCCGCCATCGCCACTTTGGGCGGCAGCGGCCAGAAGCGGCCCGCACGCCGCAGCGGCCGCAGCAGCCGGCCGCGGGCCTGCCACGGCTCCGCGGCCGACTCGTACTGGCCGTAGTCATTGGGGACCTGTGGCAAGCAGCAGGCGCGTCCCTAGTTTTACCCAGTGAGCTGACGCTGGCCCGAGTCAAAGGACACCTATCGAGCAGGCTAACGGGGTGCAAAAGTGTAGAAGGTGACGTGACAAACTATCACCTGAGAGGAGGGGAGGGGAGGGGGCAAGGGCGCATCCGGGGGACCGGGTCATACCTTCTTGCCAGCCCACAGCGCAAGATGGACAAATATGGCAAAGTTGCGGAAGTGATACAGTTTTGAGCTGTGAAGAAAATATAAGCAAGCTCTACGAGACAGTTTAACCTAGAACATTCCTTGAGATCAAGGGAAGCGAAATCCGACAGGTTTGTGTTAAAATTGGGACACATTAAGGTTTTGACCGAGGGCAACGCTACCTCATCCGCTTGACGTGGCGTTTTGGATCTGTCCTTAGAAGGGAGTGCAAATGGGCTGTGCACTTCCTTAATAAATGCAGTGCCCCCGGACGTGGGAATCAGCGTAAAATCATAGCGTTGCATCTCACGTCAAAGGGTGACTTATTTCGGTTACACGCTGACGTGTCTGGATAATGCAGGATGGCAGATTTTTAAATAGCGCACACAACGTGTCATCGAAATTGGCTTCACTTTGGTACGGCTTCATTACATGATTTCGACCCACAGCGTTTGCCACATTTCGTATTTGGCTTCCTTCATCCGCAACTACAGAGCGCCACAACTCAACATTAAGAGACAAAAACAAAAGAAAAGAAGGACGTTGCGAAGGGGTCTAGCTGTTTCTCGCTGGGGGGCCCTTGATGAGGGCTGCTGTCGGGGGATGGGTTCCGACCCAGGGGCTCCGCCGCGGATCAAAAGCTGGCGGGGACACGTGCTCTGCAAACCGTTTCTTTTCATGCAAAGCCATGGGCGCAATGTCAGGTCCCAAAATATTCATTTCTTGATCCCGAGTATAAATTGCGTGTGAAGAGGAACTCAAAAAGCAAAACGTCGTCTTCGATAGGGATCGTGCAAAACACAACATGCCACGCGTTGAAAGATGGCGAAAGTAGCTGCGTCCCGAATTTCCGACGTCCTCACACGCCTGATAAGAATGGCATGGAAAAATTGGGTACGGGACATGCTAGATAAGCCTGCGTGGTATGACAAGTTCTAATTGCGCTCTACGATCTGTTCGAGCCATTTGGCCTCGGGTATGGGTCATATGGATAGCCGTGAGGACCGTCAGACAGCACCAAACATATGAGCACGGGTGGAACTTTGCACAATGGGACGCGAAGGTCTTGCTGTCATACCCAACGGCAGCTTGGCTCCCTCATTATTTATCCCAAATCCCGCGAACAGTGCTTTTCAGGAAGAAGCAAAGTTACGCCCTACGGCGGAAAGCTGTATTTCGGGCGAAATTCAGTCTTTGTTTCCGGTAAATCAAGAGGTGCCCGAAATACATATGAGACGGTGGTTGCCGCCAATACGCTGTTGGGAAACCCCCTCTAATGAAACAGCTTCACTTGGTGTACCAAACGCTGGCAATGCAAAAAAATCGCCGACGAGAACTTGGAAACGCTGTCGGGACAGATGTTCGTGGTGATCCGTTGCTTAGGCTCAGAGCACAGGATTTCAAACAAGTTCCATCTGTCATCTAGTTCCCACCCTTTGTTGCAGCCCGGGAACCCAGCGCTGTAGTCCTATTATGTGTAGCATACGGCACTGTAGCACCACTAGCATGGCACCAGCACTATTCGGGATCGCACTCTACAAAGTCAAGCCGTGTGCATATGGGCAAACATTAGGTTAATAATCATCCTCTGGTCATCATACGAAACATATTGTGAACTCGTTTGCGAAGGTGAAAGAGACTGCATGCCTAAACCCAGATCACGCCCTCAGGACTAGCACACCAATGGGATCCATACGCGTTCACACATGGGCTATAAAGGATTACGGACGAGCCGACCTATTCCCCACATGGCCCGAGTCGCAGTCCTATCGGGTACCACATGGCGTTAACCAGAGCATCGGGCTACGCGATGTAGAGAGCAAAAATGACTCACCTCTTCCGCCAGGTACGAATGGGCCGTATAGAGACTTCTGGGCCTTACAGCCTGGATTGGATGAAGAGGGATCTGGGGTACCGCATCCCGAGACTCCAGAAAGTTGTCACGCCAAATCATCCCCTTTGCCATGGTCGGAGCGTAAAATTACCACTTGGATATGCTACATAAGTATCACAAAATACAGATTATCTGATGAGTGCAAGGCACGCCTTCACAAAAACACCGCACAATTGATGGGAAACGAGCCTGCACGTCAAATACACACGCACAAACAGCCAATAGTCTGAGCTGTTTCGGAAATGCAGCTGGCGTCTCTTCTGTAGCCTTGGCTTGTTTGACTTTGCGCGTGCCCATTGTTGAGCCTGTTGCTAGGCAAAGTTGTACGGTTAATATTTTTTTTTTAGGGATCTTCCAGCTGATAATGGTTGAGAGGGGCTGTGAAGCAAAATTTAGCAAGCGACTATCCGAGAAACCGAGCACTCAGAGTTATCCAGTGTAAAATATCTAATTATCCCAAAATTTAATGTGGGCAACGCAAATAATTATCGGAAAAGCTTCGGCAGAACGTTTTTAACCACACTCATGGTCGGACAGAGGTAGATCCAAGGGAGTAGAGGGCAATGGGACAATTGTCGCCCGTGGAGTCCATGGGGAGCCTGAATGTCCACCTTTGGTCTTCGAAGGTCTCAACACCGGTCGAATGTATGCGGGGTTTTTACCAAAATACGGAAAAAAATTTGGACATCTTCGGACCACTAGGCAACCAGGAAGGGCAACAAGCGAGAATGACGGACCCAATAACAGGCAAAAAGGACTCTCAGTTCATTGGGAGGTTGGTGCTTGGAGAAGTTTAGAGCCTATTACAGCGTGCAAGCATCCTTACACCGTTGACGAGCGTCTAATATGTACGAGTAAAATTTAGCGATCTATTTGAGACAATCGACTTGGTCGGTGCCTAAGCCAAAATTGTGCAGCTTACACTTTCAAAATTCTCACCAGTCTATGTCCAGGCCGTATTTTGTCATCTACCCTCCGGTGGCACATGCCTCCTCAATGACCCAAATTTCCTACTCGCCCGTGGAATTTTGCCTCCCAGGAAAGACAATATTGAAATAGACGAATAATTCTGGGAAGCCAGATAGCCTTATTTGCCGAATGACATACATGAGCCGAATAGGCAAGTCTGTACGAATATATAATAATAACAATAGGCAAATAATAATAATAGGCAAGTCCAGTGCGAGACACCTCCAGATGCATATCTAGCATAGAAGCCATAGCATTTTAATAAAGAGCAATAACAACCTCCATCTCCCCCCCCCTTCGGGTAATTGAACTTGTTTCCAGAAAAAAGTTTATGGAGTACGTCCTGACTTTGCCCCCCCCCCCCCTTTTAAAATATTACTACGCCTATGGCTGATAAAATCGTATGTGCTCTTCCTTCTGGTAAACGCTACAAAGCGATCTCCTCCGCAGATTCTGTGCTTGGACTTGGCTGCAATGCCCTAAAGTGGTTTATAGGTTTTGAGATGTGAAGATGGTGATATGGGGTCATCAGTTTCAGAATCATTGGTGAAATCCCATGTGCTCTATCTTTTGGTAAAGTTTCCATGCAGATTGGTCGAGCGGTTTCCGAGTTTGGACTTGGCTGCAATGCCCCAAAGTGGCATATGTGGTTTTTGCAGGTTAAGGTGGTGGCTTGATGTCACCAGTTTCAGAACGGCTAGTTAAACCGCATCCTTGCTTTCGACTGGTGTCGGTTTGAAGAAAATCTGACCGGTGGTTTTGTAGTTTGAACTTGGCTGTATAGGTGGCGGCGAAGTAGCGAGGTCACAGTCTCCTGGAGCGGTCTCGAAGCGCCACCATTTGTGAGCACATGCGGTGTTCACTATGACAAGCAGGCGCTGTGGCCAAATAGTGGCTGGTCGCTCCCCAGCAGATGATCCGTCTTTGAATCAAACAAAATGCAAAATCGTTATCTTATATTTTCAGAAATAATTAGACGTCCATCAAGAACATTACTAAAGTACAAACGTGTGTCTGGTGTCCCATGCTCATCCTCAAGAGATGAGCTCTCGAGGATGAACGCAGTTTGTGATATTGAGTACCGTCAATATTCTCGTTCTTTGGCACTACAGTGTCGTTTCACCAGTGCCTCCTGATACATCGAAGGTTCTTAACTCAACATAAGAGCTTTGAGCTCTTAATACCGAAAAACCAGGAGCTGAAGGACTTTCTTTCCGGCATTAGATCAAAAATATGACCGCAGGGCAGTGGGCAAAATTCGTGAAGAAATGCGCATCGGAAATAGCCGGATGGACAAAGTTCATGGGCTTGTCCCTTCCCATGAAAAACGCGAAATTCTACCCCTGCATGGGTGGATAAGCTGCTGCATTTACAATATGAGGCATTTTTGTTTAGTGCAACTTCAGGAAGATGACTAGTAAACTGAGTGAATCAGCATGTTTAAGGTAGAACAAAAATACGCTGAACGCAAATAGATCTGAAAAAGTGGGCTGCCAATTGACATTGCTAAACCATCACCTTTAAAAGTGGAGGGCCATGTCCTCCGTGGTCCCTATTCCTACACCGTTGAATGACAGGCTCTTGCCCCCCCCCCCCCCCCTGCCTGCGCCCGTGTGATCTGCTGATGACTGCTCCAATTAGAACTCATTCCTAAAAGAGGTCATCGTGTCAGTTTTTGTAATTTCTGACAATTACAATATTCTCAAATTAACACAACTTTCTGTAGTCCATCAATTCCCGAAACGGTTATGAGAAGAGCGCCAGCTGGCCAAAGTCATATGATAAAGATGATAGGGGCTGTGTTATAAGCCCAGCTCGGTTTCACATTATTTCCCTCTACCTTGATTTCGTGCTGCGACTTAGTTCGACTGTGATGCTCTGATAATTTCTTGATTACCTCGATACGATCATTTGTGCCGGGCGTTGCATGCGGCTTGGAAATGAAAATCCGTTGATCCTATTTGAGGCAGGCAGCTGATCGTGAGACGAGAGGCTTTGGTGGTAGTCTCCTCCCTGTGTTTGATATTCACCGCGTTCGGTGTTGCCAACTTGCCACGCCAAGAACTTGTGCCGTATCAGCCTACGCATTGAAGTCCTTCTCGTGCTTGGACCGCACAATGCCCCTTAGAAGCATGACGGGAAGGTACATGGGTGAAGGTAGTGGTGGCAAGAGACCATCAAGCCAACGAGCTACGGGTGATGCTTCCAGGATACCCAGGGCGTCAGTTGACTCGCGGGGCGATGCTGCGAGCCAACCGCATGCACGCTCTGGAAATGCATCGTGGGATACCAGACATGCTCCAGTGGAAGAACGTGGCGCGACCTGGAAGCACACTCCAATTGCTCCCCAGCCGCAAGTTTACTCTGTTGCTTGGGGCCCTTCAGCCAGCTGGCCTTCAAATGCCTGCTTGAACTGGGGATCCAGCCAAATGTATTCATCTCATCCACCCACGGTGAACACACATTCATCGAGTAGCGTGGCCTGGGGTCCTCCAAGTCGTCCACCGGCTACAACAGGTGGGTGGGGTCCGTCAGCCGTGCAGCCGCCAGGACATGAAAATGGAGACTGTGTGAACAGCGCCTCTCTGAAGTATGGGTCGCCTGCCGGTGACTGTTGGCCTACGGAGGGTTCGTTCCACTGGCTCCCTCAGCCACCAGCAGCGCCTGTCACCGCCCGCTACCCTGTCCAGTTTACCGGGCCTGCGATCGGCGCCATGCCGCCCAGCGTCCAGGTGCCTTCCGGCTGCTCCACGCAGCAGCTGCGCCCACCACTGATGGCTCTGCCGGACCCGGCCGGCGGAGACGCCCGCCCCGAGTCGCTCGCGGCGCCCGCCCGTCGCCTCACCACCGACACGAAGGTGGTGTGCTCGACCCTGAGCCGGCTGGCGCCGCTGCCGGCCGACGCCAGCCGCTGGGCGGTGCTGCTGGCGCGGCTGGAGCAGCCGCCGGCCGCCGGCGGGCCGCGGCGCCAGTTTGTCGTGCGCGAGCCGGACGGCGGCCGCACAGAGTGCGTATTCTACGAGCTGGAGCGGCCGCTCGGCGCTCTGCAGCCCGGCAAGTGGGTGCGCTGCGTGGGCCGGCCGGACGGCCGCGGCCTGTTCGTGTGCGTGACGGTGCGGCCGGCCGGTCGGCAGGACATCGGCTTACACCGGCAGCTGCAGCAGCTGGCGCTCGAGCCGCCGCCAGCTGAGGGGGCAGCCGCCCGCTAACCGCTGCAGCAGCTGACGGTGGAGCCGGCGGCAGCCAGTGGGTAAAGCACAGCTGCCCGACCCAGGACGAGTCGTAAGCGGCTGGTGACGTTCACGGGCGACGGCAGTGCGGGACTGTTATGCCGGTTACCTGACCAGTGGTCCGTTACGGTCATTTGTGCTTCGCTAAGTGTATCAAGACCTTGGCCGTGTTTACGTTGCACTTCCGAACAGAGCATACTTCGTTCGATGTGCCACAGTAATTGACCTTGTGTTGGAGTCCGATGTCGACGTTCAAACTATTTTTAACTGGCACAGCGTTGGAAAACCATCCATTTTGCAGTAGGTATTAAAGCTTAATGAGTCGATTCTGCGTTGTAAAATATACGGAAAAGGCGTATGCTCACTTGCAGCCCTCACTCGCTACAAAGTCGGCGGCCTGGCGTATCATCAGCTGATGACCAGTGGCACGCACGATAATACAGGGCCTACTGCGTGAAAAGGTAACGGAGAGCTCGCTTCGGCGTCAAAACGGCGACGGAGCACAATCTGGATTCTCCTCGGTCCACGCGCGGACCACAGAAAACAACACCGCCACGTGAGTACGACACCGACATGAATACTTTATTTGTTGAGCGGTGGTACGGGCAACCCCACGCGGTCTAATGCGTTGCCTTTTCCCAGGAACTTTTTGTTTTGACATGCACACGATGCTCACGCCAGCCAAACCTCGCTCAGTTGCACAAAACAGTCGATTTGCCCCAAATTTACTCTGCCCCAATATTGCACGCTCACTGCTGTACGTTCTGGATAGCTTCCCACTGACTCCACAACGTAATAATACCTCTGAACCAACCCAGCGCAGCGTCGGTTCATCGTGTCCCCTCCGCGCCGCTATCGCCGCAAGAGCCGTTCGATTCGTCGGGGGGTCCGCCGCCTGCGTGCCACGGCGCCGCCGCCGGTCACTTGTCGGCGGGCAGACCACGTAGGTAGTAGCGCCAGGCGGGCGTGAGGCCGCGCGGCAGCGACGGGCCCGAGATGGTCAGACAGCCGGTGATTGGTCGGCTGGCAGTCAGCTCCACCGGAGGTCCCCGGCTCTGGTCGAAGCTCACCGTCACGCGAATTTCCTGCCGGCCGGCGGGAAGGCGCATGACAGGAGGTGCCTCCGTTCAGGCTGAGTATGCCTGCCACACTTGCAAAGGCTGTCAGGTGAGCAGAAATGCCGTGCGTGGCTTACATCCGGCTGCTTATTCATATGAATAACTAATGCACGTGAAAAAAATAGAAATTCAGCGCAGACCTACGCATGCGTGACGGCTGTAGTATTAGTCATGCACCCACTTTGTCACAGGGAATAGAACAGTGCATAACTCTCAGTCAGGGCCGGCGGCAAGGGTTTTGAGTTGGAGGCGGGATTTACCAGGGGCCCCTGGACATAGTGGGGCCTCGCAGAGGGGCTTCCTGCACTTCCGGCCTGCGCAGCGTCCTCGGGGAGGGCGGGGGGGGGGGATACCGAGGGCATGTGCCTGCCTATCAAACTGTTACGTGCATCATATCCCAGTAGATGAACGTCGCAGGTCTGCATTTTTTTAGTTGGGGCCATCCCATTATCCAGCTAAGGGTATCGCTAACCTAAAACAGAGTATCCTATTCCGAAAACGGACCTCCCGGTGCATAAAGCGTCTACTAATCCAGAACAGGATGCAAATGATTCACGAAGGGGGTCTCTAAATCTAGCTACGGGACAGTAAAGCGCAAAGCAATGCAGTAAGAGAAAGGCGCGAAGCAATGCAGTAAGAGAAAGGCGCGAAGCAATGCAGTAAGAGAAAGGCGCGAAGCAATGCAGTAAGAGAAAGGCGCGAAGCAATGCAGTAAGAGAAAGGCGCGAAGCGATGCAGTAAGAGAAAGGCGCGAAGCAAAGCAGGACGGACCTTTTTGGCGCGGATGGTTTCCGGCGTCTTCTGTATGGCGAAGTACGGCGAGTCCACATAGTACGAGTACTGCGCCGTGGCCGGGAAGATGTTCTTGAACGGTATGACGAGGTTTGTGCCCGTCTTGATGCTGAACGGTCCCTGCGGCTCGGGCGCCGTGCACGTGCCGTGTACGGCAAACCTGACCATTGAAGGGGCGTCGGGCACATGCCAGGCCTCCTGCGCAGAGTCCTCACGACGAACCGAGAAGTGCACACGTTGCGTGCGTGTGTCTGCTTGTCCGGCAGTATGTGTGTGTGCGACTGCATGAGTGCGTGCGTGCGTAACGAGGGCGTGAACTTGCGCCTGTTTGTGCTTTGATTCATCGAGATGCCAACCGAGTGATTCCGGCCATTTCGCTAACAGGCACGACCTTGTGAACGTTCCCAGAACTGGCAGGCCTAAAGTCTACCGAGATTTTGGAAACTTGCCTCTTTTTCGGGAATTTGTGCTACTTTGAGATTCATTGTATATTTTCCACCTTGCGCCCAATACTAAAACCAATTATTGCGCACCATATTTAAAACCTAGTCGTTAGCTACTAACAAAGTCGGCTAGCCGGCTAGCCACTGATCGGCTCGCTGCTCCACCCGACAGCCAGCTGACCATAACCAACCTTGCGCTGTGTTTGCCACGTGTCCATAAAACGACACGTTCCGAATACCAACACATCCCAACACGCCACGTGTCACCACATCAGCCACTCGGTGTCCGTCTGTACTCGTACCTGTACTCTCACCTGTACTCTCCGCCGTGGGGTGAGCTGAGCACCACTCCCCGCTCCAGGGGAGCCGACCCTCTGTGTGTCACCTGTACTCTCCGCCGTGGGGTGAGCTGAGCACCAATCCCCGCTCCAGGGGTAGCCGACCCTCTGCGTGTCACCTGTATTCTCCGCCGTGGGGTGAGCTGAGCGCCACTCCCCGCTCCTGGGGGAGCTGACCCTCTGCGTGTCACCTGTACTCTCTGCCGTTGAGTGGGCTGAGCACCACTCCCCGCTCCAGGGGGGGGGGGGAGGGGGCGACCCTTTGCATGTCACCCGTACTCTCCGCCGTGGGGTGAGCTGAGCACCACTCCCCGCTCCAGGGGAGCCGACCCTCTGTGTGTCACCTGTACTCTCCACCGTGGGGTGAGCTGAGCACCACTCCCCGCTCCAGGGGAGCTGACCCTCTGCGTGTCACCTGTACTCTCCGCCGTGGAGTGGGCTGAGCACCACTCCCCGCTCCAGGGGGGGGGGGGGGGGGGGGCGACCCACTGCGTGTCACCCGTACTCTCCGCCGTGGGGTGAGCTGAGCACCACTCCCCGCTCCAGGGGGAGCCGACCCTCCGTGTGTCACCTGTACTCCCCGCCGTGGGGTGAGCTGAGCACCACTCCCCACTCCAGGGGAGCCGACCCTCTGTGTGTCACCTGTACTCTCCGCCGTGGGGTGAGCTGAGCACCAATACCCGCTCCAGGGGGAGCCGACCCTCTGTGTGTCACCTGTACTCTCCGCCGTGGGGTGAGCTGAGCACCACTCCCCGCTCCAGGGGGAGCCGACCCTCTGTGTGTCACCTGTACTCTCCGCCGTGGGGTGAGCTGAGCACCACTCCCCGCTCCAGGCTGTACACGTCGATTGGCTCGTAGGTCAGGTCAAAGCTGGCCTCCACGCCCTGGGGCCAGCCGGGCGGCGTGTTCACCGACCGGTCCACCTGCAGCTCCTTGCCGTCGCCCTGCCAGCACGCGCCAGCGTCCACGCAGCCGACCAGAAGCGACGCGTTCGGACCGGCTGACGAGCCGCGCCGGGACGAGGTAACGGCGCCACCACGACGCAACTTGGCCGAAACGCCCTCCATTCAAAGCGCTCGCCGACAGCTACACCACCGGTTTGCTTCGCCCCGAGGCGTGGAGGCGGTACCGTGACGTCGAATATCATCGCGGTGGCTTTTCTGACGCGGTCCGGTGGCCAAGACATGGAAACATCGAGTGCGTAGGGGAAATCACATGTCAGAGGCTTCATCTCGCTTTCACGGTCGAAGCCAAGGCATTGCGGCCTTTAGGGGACGACAGATGCACAGCATGGGTGGGTGGGCAGTTGGACAAGCACGTGGTGGCGTACCTTGGCCAGCATCTGGCTGAGCAGTTCGGCGAACGTCTTGGGCTTGTCGTCGTCGCGGTCAGCGCGCGCCGAGCCGCGGACGCGTCGGGTGGGCGGCTCTGGCGAGGGGCTCAGCTCGCCCGGATCAGACAGCTGCTGCAGGCTCACCAGCTGCCGCACGGCACACACCTGAGGCGGCCGCTAACACGCGCGGCACGCCACGCCAGGGCCCCGTCCGCCACGGCAGAACCTCGGCCCGACACCGGGCTACACTGCTGACGACGGCGCTGCCCGCTCGCAGACCGATGGGTCTTTTATTTTACGTTTATCGCATATCTGATGTCAGCATGGGATAGTTTTCGTCCTATGTGCGGTGTATCCGTATAATGGATGGGCATGCCGGGAAGACGTCATTTTATAGTTTAAGTCCTAGAATGTTGCCAGGTTCGCTTAGTGCTTTCGCTTATCAAAAAGCTGCTCTTTGCACTGAGCAACTCTGCAAAGTTTTGGACGCAAAGCTCGCCCAGTGGTAGCCAGGTGCTACTTCCACTGCGATATTGTATTTCCATTGGTGCTTTCACTGGGTAGCGTTTTAGGCTTAGTGCCACGGCAGAATACTGTTTGGTCCTTTGGATAAGAGCCATATGTCGGCCACCTGTGACCATGGCGGCGGGCACGAGACGGCCGTGCATCGCCGACTCCCGATCCCCGCACGGGCCCGCAGAGCCCGGGGGACAGTTTGGGTCGGGGTGCCGATGCCGATGGCTCTGGGCGCGCCGGCGCCTTGATTGGGGACAGTCGTGCCGACCCCACGTGAACATTTGGTGAGATATCGCTTCATCGAGAATCAGACCCCGCGGAACCCAGGCTCGCGCGACTGTCGCCGTGCCTTCGTGCCGCTTAACACCTCGTTTCAGTTGGCACACTCTTCGCCCCCCCCCCCCCTCCCCCTGATATATTTATAGTGAACCACCCTCGCCCTGCACGATCCTCAGTGATCTAGCGCTCGATTCCTCGGACCACGACTTCATTTAAATGATCGCAAGGGACATAGTATTACAAGTTCACAAACATCTCCACAACGTACTCGAATTCCACCACTGAAGACTTGCTACGGAGAAACAAACCGCGTTTTTTATATGCCCCGGACCATCGCTTGGTCGCATTTCTTTCCTTGCCAAATACTTAAGTAGTAATACTCAGTAACCACACATGGAATGACTGACAATTGAAGGGAAGGGAAGCCCCTTTCACTTGAGGTGCCATGTCCTACGGATTGTCAAGAAGGCGCGAGTCGACTGCCCATCGCATACTGGCGATTGGGAATGGGGACGATACAGTCAAGCATGCGTCGTCCAATAAGGCAGTTAAAGAAGCCATTGCGTAAATAATTGTTGACTAGCTATCAACGCACGTAAGCCCTTCTCCGATCGCCGAAGTGCATGAAGACTGTTCAACGGCCGATTGGCTGTCTCTCCTGTCCAGCGCTCTTGGAATATAATAACAGTGATCTGCCGCAGGGCAAGATCCCATGATCGGAACATCTGGGATGGATTTCCGCCGAGCACCAAAATGGCAAGGGGCGGATATTTGGACTCTTTAGGTTTGGTTTTCGGGAAATCGCCCGCCGTTTGCGGCCTTTCAAACTGGATCCGCCGCTGGGCCGGGCGGCACGTCGTCTTGGAATGGCTGATCACGTGCTGAGACCGTGCTCGGTCCCAGCCAGGCTGGAGCTGGCTAACAGGAAAGCCCACCAATCCGATCTCGGGAGATCCCAGACGGGAGGAATTTAGTAATGATGTTCTTTAAACCATGCCGTTGCTAAGACAACAATTTAGAGTGTGTTATACATTAATATTGCTCTCATAATTTGCGCAAAGACCCATGAAATGAAACTGCCGACACATCATGAAGCCATGCGAACCGATCAGTAATGCTCTACACTATGTTTTCTCAGGCAGTCCACGTGAAGGGGTTGATTACCCAGTATCATAATGATCAGATACCCAGGTATCTTAACACATACATAACGGCCAAGAAAATAGCTGTCAAGAAATCATTATATATATATATATATATATATATATATAGACAGATATAATTACATTAGGCTTGGTTTTCGGGAAATCGCCCGCCGTTATATTACGTGCTGAGACCGTGCTCGGTCCCAGCCAGGCTGGAGCTGGTTGGCTATATATACATATACAGGCATGCTCTCCATCATCGCCATGCTTTTTAAGCGAAACGTCCCCAAGTATTACTCCTTTCTTCTACATGAAATGAATAAATCTTCAATGCATGATGCGGGTGTGAGTATGCGCGAGTGAAACACTTTCAACTGAAGTTCAGATCTTCAAGCTCGAGTTCTTTGGCCTCTCATTTGAAGATTCTGAACCTCTCACGAAAGGACATTTTGTCTAGCTGGCCGGCCTTTAAAGATTCTAAGTTCCTTCGGGTTACTTTATATTTATAGGTAACTGTATACGAACTACCTCGTACCCACCTCATCTGAAAGTGATGTGCTAGCACATCAAACGCAATAAACAATCAGTTTTGTTAACGTCTTTCACCGGAAAACAAATAACACATTCATCTCATTCGAAAAATTAATCTCCTGGACGCAAAGTAAAAACACCGGGGCTTTTACCCTGGCTTCCACGACCTACTGGTCCCTGCTGACCTTCATGACCTGGCTCCCGCCGCCCTGCCCGCTCCGTACCTCCCTGCTCACCTGAGTGACGTACTCGGTGCGGGTGACCCCGTCCCTGCTGACCTCTATGACCTCTCTCCCGTCGCCCTGCCCGCCCCGTGCCTCCCTGCTCACCTGAGTGGCGTACTCGGCGCGGGTGCGGCTGAAGTTGGTGAACTTGACCTGGCGCGTGACGCTCTGCCCGAGCGGACAGCTGAGCTGGACGGTGCCGGCCAGCGGCGCCGGCCGTGCCGTCACCTGCACCTCGAACCCGTACGTGCCCATCTCCTGGCTGTGCACGTCCAGCGGTGCCTCGCTGCTGCCCTCTCGCAGCGGCAGACACTCGAATGCCACGCGTGCCTGCCGCCGACGCCGGCCCGTCAAACGGACTGCCACGCACGCACGCACGCGCACACGCGCAGACCTACGAGCCACGCAGGAAGTCATTGTCCGCGGGTTTGGTGTTCGTCAGAAACAGGCGCCCATGACGCTGATGCCCCCACAACACTATCTGCTTTTTGTCAGTGATGACGGTACGGCTGTGGGACAGCGTCACTAGTTTAATTTCGTCATGGACCACACTTGTTGTTGCGGTCGCTGCTTCGTCTTAGTAAGGTCTGTTCGTCCTACCAAGGCTATCAAAGTATTGAGCGCAAGTGCGACATATTGGCTGTTAAGGTCATTCGGTACGCCACCTTCCGCCGGTAGTGCCGTCTCGCCGGTGCCCTCTTTACTCGGCACGCGGCGCCTGCGTCGCACTCGCGCTCAGTACTCACGACTGGTGGCGTTCGGGACGCGCTCCAGTCAAGGTCCACTGAACAGTTCCATCGTGAACCAGCCAATATCGCCACGCGGTACAACAAAGCCGCCGGGTCTGCCAAAGGGTCTGCCGAAGGCGCCTGTCTGGTGACGATCGGGCCGAACTCCACGCCCGAAAGCCGCGTCCGAGACGGAGCGAAGGCTGCCGAGCGTGGACCACCCTCGGCAAATGACAGAAGGACTGGATGCCCGGTCTGGGAGCCCTGCATCCCGTGCAGGGCGCCGACCCCGCCCCCGACTGTGTGGCCGGCGGCGGCGCGCGGCCCCGTGCCGTGGCGGCCTGGCCCGGCCTGGCCCGACCCGACCCGACCCGACCCGACCCGACCCGACCCGACCCGACCCGACCCGACCGACCTCCTGGCCGGCCGGGAAGTGGAGCGTGCCGTGGTGGCCGAGGATCAGCTCGTTCATGTTGCAGGTCACCTGGCAGGTCATGGGCGACTCCAGCGGTCGCTCCAGAACCACTGCAACAGGAGAGAGCCGTGCCGGCGCCGTCGGCACGCCGCTGCGGCCGACCGCCGACAACATACTGCAGCCACTTCTCGAACACGCCGATGTGTATGCGGTTAAGGAGTCACAGAGGAGGCATTGCCTCTTCTGAGCCTGCGAACACCGCGAAGGCAGCCATACCACGTAGATGCGGTCAGCAAGCCATCGAGAGGCGTACCTCCTCCTGAATCTGACAAAGACCGCAGTGAACATCACACAGCAAGAGTACCGCTAACAGATCATTACAGACCATCGCTAGCATACAGAGCCCCTTCCCAGTAAATACATTCTGAGCGTTTCGCCAGCAAATACATCCTGGGCGTTGTTTCCGCTCACTTGATATCCGTCACCGCCACCTTCGCCGAGCATCTAGGGACCGCCGCTTGATCCAGCACCCCGGCCGCTGACCGCCTCCGCAGCGGACACACCCGCCACCAGCGGCACCCACACCCGGCCCGCCTCCAGAGCGGCCACACCCACCACCGGCGGCGCCCACACCCCACCGCTGACCGCCTGCAGAGCGGCCACACCCGCCACCGGCGGCGCCCACACCCGGCCGCCCGGCGCACAGTGGCGGCGTAAGCCACATACCGGAGTGGGCCACGGCCCTGCGCACCACCGTGTGCAGCTCGACGCGGCGCCGCTCGTGCGTCTTGGCCACCCGGTAGCTGAGCTCGTAGAACAGGTACTCGCCGCTCGCGTCGTTGGTGAACGTCAGCTGCGGCAGTCCAGGCGGGCTGGTGAGGGGGCGGCCCTGGCGGCTAAACCTTCAGTACGGTCCACCGACGATAGGTGGCCGCGGCGGGTCGCTACTCACTTCCTCGCCACTCCGGTCAGTGTCAGCCGAGTGAACGGACGCGTCAATGCTGAAGGCCGCATCACGGCCCAATCTTTCGTACAGACACCGAGCACATGCGACACGGACTGTCGCCATACAAGTCCTTCACCCGAATTATCCCATGGGCGAGATAAATCAAGCTGGCCGGCCCGCCTACCGGCGGCGGTCGGGCCAGGGCCGCGCGCGCCTACCTTGACGTGGAAGGTGCCCTCCTTGTAGCAGTAGACGTTCAGCGTGTACGGGACTGTGGCCAGCGCCGGCACGTCCAGGAAGTCCAGGCCTGCAGCACGACACGGTAACGTACATTGCTTGCGCGACCAGCATCGGCTTTGGCCAGCGGTCTGCTCTGCACCGGGTGTTTCTCTCCCACCCACCCCCCACCCCCTCCCGAAAAGGGAGGGGGTGGGGGGTGTGGGAGTTCGTTCAGTGATTTTTTTTTTGCACACAGCTTTCTCCCCTTATTTCATGGGGGAGGGGTCCCAGGCCCCCTTACAACTTTGGGAAGAGAGCGGTTCGAATCCGGAGGGCCATCCGTAGTAGTGTGTTAGGGGTAGGCTTGGCCATTTGTCCCTGCCCATAACCCACCCGCCGCAAGAAAAATCGCGAAGCTGCGTTCACGCTATGGGTAGTCCCTAGCCCTGCCACCTGGTGACAGGGATTATGGTCCCGGGTGACCGCCTGGCAGGCGCTGCGAGAGACTGCCCGTCGAGACTGTGCGCGGCGCATACCTAGCTACTTTCAACGAAGAGGGAGGCGTTCCGGGCAGTGGCCTACTGGCCGCTCGGCGCCACATGAGAAAGACCTCCATGTTTTTTGAGCATGCGCTTAATCGAGCCACGCCTAACCCGCAAGTGTCACAGTCGAACTGCTGATCCTAGTTTACTGAAACTGAACACGAAAGCGGGAAATCGTACAGTTATGGTACACTAAACTAACGCACATAAGGAGTCAGCAACGAAATATGTCAGGCTTCCTCCGAAGCCATGCGCCGTTTTTCGAGTAAGCCGGGGAAGGAGACAGCCGGTTCACTACGTGGGACACCAGAGAAGCACTCTGACTCCAACCCGATGTTAACTAAAGGCTCAAGCAGAGCTCACCCACTCTGACCATCACTGAGTTAAAGGCGCGGGCACGCAATGTCGAAAGCAAGGTTCAGCCTCACCACCGCCCTAATCCGACAGCTGGCCCAGCCGAGCGGCACACGGCACACGCTACAGGGTCTCGAGATCAACCCCAGCCCGATCTGAGGCGAGGAGGCGTCTGGCGTACCGTTCAGACCAACACTGGAGAGGTCCGTCTTGTCCTTTTCGCTGCGTACCACCTCAGCCCGGGCCGAGAACCTGCGCCAGCGGCGACAGCCGTCAACAGGCGCCTCAGTCGTCGGTCATTATTCAACCCTCTGTGAGAAGACCCCTTCCATTTACACGGTCTTGGCTCCCGCACAGCATCTCACGCGTAATGGAGACAACACAAAACCAATCACATTGCGTGATCCACGACCAGGGGCTCACGAACAATTTCACAGAGCGGGGAGAGCAAAAGTATTTTTTCACCCAAAACCGAATTTAGCCCTTTGCAGGTACGCAAAACATTTTGTCTGTGGTAAGCGAACATGGCATGTTCTCGATCGCCCTATGTTTACGTGTACACCAGGAACCTTTCATTTTCAACATGTCGTCACGCACATATCAATATGTTACACAACTGAGTACAGGCGGGACTCCTACATTCGTGCACCCCTGTCCATGACTGAGCAGCTCAGGCCACAGCCAGCTCCCGATCCAGTGTGATCAGCTGCAGCGCCCCTGAGCTCGTGGCGCGGCCGCGGTGGCCGCCGCGGCGCGGGCCGGCGTACCTCTGCGACTCGGCCAGCCAGTTCTGCACGTCCACCGTCTGGGCGTGGGTCGTCTTGCTGGCGATGTCGCTGGAGAGGCGGCCGGCCGGCTGCGGCGGGTCGGCGCTGCCCACCAGACCGTGCAGCAGCGCGGAGCCGTCCGGCAGCGCCAGGAACACCGAGCCCTGGCGCGCACGCGGCTCGACTCAGGGGCTGGACGCGGTCACCTCACGGCACCAGCGCGCGCGCGCGCGCCCGCACCGCTCTGGCTCGACACGCGTGGCGCGTGATTGTCACGCAATTTGCTGCAATGAGTCCCGATCCAGGGATTTCGGTGAAAGGGGGCGCCACTGGCTGCGATTATTATGGAAACCCGGTATGACACTGTCTTACGTTAATTTGCGGTTTCATATCAGGATTTCTGAGCTATATCGCGACTCCATAACTTGCAATCCTATCCGTAACCAGTCTAGCCTGTCACCTGTCTAACCTATCACCAATCCAGCCTATCACCAGCCCAACCTGTCACCAGTCTGGTCCATCACCAGTCTAACCTGTCACCAGTCTAGTCCATCACCAGTCTAGCCTGTCGCCAATTTAACCTGTCACCAGTCTAGCCTGTCGCCAGTCTGGCCTGTTACAAGCCTCGCCTATGACAGGCCTCTTCAGCGGCCCGTCTCCCTTGTGTCCGCCGCCCCCCCCCCCCCCCCCCGTGAGCGGTGCGTACCGTGTGTTTCTGGCCGGGCGGCGTCATCACCATCGGACGGTAGGTGAGGGCGTAGGCGCCGACAGACTGGGCCGCCACGCTGAGCACCTCCTGACCGCGCCAGAACTCGCCCGACACCACCGGCACCACCTCCCAGGCGGTGTTGGTCCTGGCCACCGGGCACGCACACGTATGGCGTCACATGGCCATCGCTCTGCCAGCGGCTGCATCTTTATTACTTAGCACTGCCACCACGAAGCTGCTGGCTTACTGTAACAAGTGTCCAAAAGGGCGCCACGATCGCCCGCCTCACGGCGCTCGCGCTGTGAATGTGTGCCGGCAACACTACGCCGCATGCTATGCTGCGGACGCTAGGTTCCCGTCCAAATTGACTTCGACTTGTTTCCTTCTGACTGAAATAGTCAAAGACTCCCTGAGGCCGCTAGAGCTGCAGAAATGTCCGCAGCAGTAAGACGATGGCTCACTTGTTAGGTATCTGTATGGAGCGCACGTCCTCGCCGCGAACCGCAGCCAGGAACTGCAGCGGCTCTTTGGCGGTGGTGACGGGAACACATGCGCCCGTCAGCGTCAGAGGTAGGCTGCCGTAGTTCTCCACCTCGCACGTGACGCCCTGAGGGCACGGCACCGTCAGTATCATGCCTGTCATCAGTGCCACGCTGAGGGCACGGCACCGTCAGCATCACACCTGTCATCAGTGCCACACTGAGGGCACGGCACCGTCAGCATCACACCTGTAATCAGTGTCAGGCTGAGGGTACGGCGCCATCAGCATCACACCTGTCATCAGTGTCAGGCTGAGGGCATGACACCGTCAGCATCACAGCTATCATCAGTGTCAAACCGTAAGCATCACACCTGTCATCAGTGTTAGGCTGAGGGTACGGCGCCGTCAGCATCACACCTGTCATCAGTGTCAGGCTGCGGGCACGGTACCATCAGCATCCCAACTATCATCAGTGTCAGACCGTAAGTATCACACCTGTCATCAGTATCAGACTGAGGGTACGGCGCCGTCAGCACCACACCTGTCATCAATAGCAAGCTGGCCGCCAAAATCACCCAGCAAAGTTCGCTGAGTGATGAAATAGGACTTCGGAAACTATATAGTTTGAACTGTTTGACATAAACAAGACCGCAATCAACAACAGCGTGTCATCAAACTTCGTTGAACCAGTACACGGCACATATCCCATCGCAGCCGCCATGGGCGTGCGGAATTCTTCACCACCGCATCAAACCACATGTTCAGTACAACAGACAGCTGTGGAGCTCACCAGAGTCGCACAGACCCCGCCAGCCCGTCCGGGATCTGACCGGCCATTACCGCAGCGCCGGCTGGACGTGCGCGGTCCCCTGTACGCCCGAGCGGGCGCGGCCGCCGCTCGCCGCTCACCTTCTTGATGACGCTGCTGAGCTCGCGCGGCTGCAGCGTCACCTCGCAGACGACGCGCGACCTGGGCGCCGCGTAGCCGTGCAGCGGCCGCACCGCGAACTCCGGCTGCAGCGGCTCCACCGGCCAGCGGAACCTGCGCCGCGCACCGGCACACGCTGCGGTCACGCTCGGCCCGGGGACGGACTCTCGCTGGCAGGGCAGGCCGCCACCCAGGTCACCGCGGCCGTGCGGACAGGAGACACGCAGCAGGTGCGACCGCCAGTCCGACGGCGAGGTTCGGCAACGGCCCGCGCACATTTATAGGTTAAACCGCGGAGGCAGGCGCTGATGCTAGGCGTGTCCCAGCGCGTGCGCGACTCTGGTGACACTTGCACCACGGAAGGTCCTTCCGCATTGTGCTCCACTTACTGAATTGCCGCTAAACCTAGTTGATTGACTCCCGTCCACCTTGTGCGGGTTAAGCATGCACGTGATAAGTGCTCCTGCTGAGCTGGCCGCTCCGGCCGCTAACCTGGCTCCGATGTCGCCGCTGTTGATGACACAGACGTTGCGCGCGAGCTTGGAATAGGCGGCCACGGCGCCGAACGACAGGTTAGGCACGTCCAGGTGGAACTCCATGCCCTGGCACGTGCCCTCGAGCGTCATCAGGGTGTGTGTCAGGCCCAGGGCGCTCATCCGGACCTGCGGGTGACACCACGCCGTTCACCAGGACATTGCATGCATGTCAGGTACCGACTGCCAGTCTGAGCCTGTCTGTCATCAAAGGGGCGGCACGCATGTTGCGTGCGGTCGGTCAGCCGGCATTCGCCAGTCGCCGCCCCGGGACGGAGCGCGCGGGTGCCACGGCAAGGCTGAGTTACGTGATTGGTTGACACGCTGTGCGAACGGTGACGTCAGCGGTGAGAGTCGGGCTGTGGGCACAGACGTATGGATTGTCTGGCGGCGAGCACACCTCTGCTCTGGACTCCTGTCTCCCCTAGGACACGACGGCACGACACGGCGTGGCATGGCACGACACGGCACAGCACGGCACGGTACGACATCACACGATACGACACGACATAACACGACACGACACGACACGACACGACACGACACGACACGACACGACACGATACGACACGACATAACACGACACGACACGGCACGGCACGGCACGGCACGGCACGGCACGGCGCGGCGCGGTATGGCACGGCGCGGTATGGCACGGCATGATGCCCAAGGCAAGCATCCAAAGCTGCCGTCATCAACTTATTGCACAAGGACCAAGGCAACCTGGCGAAACACCCGACGTCGCGTCCAGTCTGCAGCCCGTCGGTAGTCCGTGGGTGCAGCCACCCGAGCACTCAGCGAGAGGTGCAGTGCGGCTCACCGTTGAGGGGCTATAGTAAGTCACATTTTGGTCAGACCCTAGCTCTTTCCTCCCTTCCGCCTCGGCCACATTGTACTCTACGCCTCCGTCTCGGCCTCGCCCCAGTCCAGCCCCGGGCGCTCTGGAGCGCAGTGCCCACCTCCTCCTGGAACCAGGCCAGCCGCGTCTTGGAGAAGCACTGCAGCTCCAGCAGGAGCGTGGAGCGCGGCCGCAGTTCGGCCTCGGATGGCCGCAGCCGCAGCACCGGCGTCGCCAGGTTCTGCAGGCCCGGCGAGCTGCAGCTCAGCTGCGGGCACCAGGTCAGGTCAGACCGGCACAGACTGACGTTAGGAGCGGGAGAGGCCGGGCGGCGCCTCTTCGCGAACACCGCACAGCCCCGTCCGTCGCGCTCTCCAGCCCGGTGCCCGCTATCCCAGCCCGCTCTCCACCTGCCGGCGTCGTGCCCGCGGCCCACGGCCCACGGCCCACCTGGAACTTGCAGCGGACGGCGGCGTCGGCGCGGTTGACGACTGTGACGGAGCGCTGCAGCCGCTGGCCGGCCCGGAACGAACCGAGCACCAGACGCCTGTGCTCCGGGTCAGCCACCTCCACCTGCCCATCCAGGCCGGGCAGGTCACGGACGTGTCAGGGCACAGCCAGGACAGGACAGGACAGGACAGGGCCGGTCAGGACAGGACAGGACAGGACAGGGTAGGGTAGGGCAGGGCAAGCCAGGACAGGACAGGACAGGACAGGACAAGACAAGACAGGACAGGACAGGACAGGACAGGACAGGACAGGACAGGGCCACACAGGACAGGACAATTGGTAGTCGCACTTTGACAATATGTTTGACAGTATGACAATATCGCACAATGACAATAATCGGCCTTCAACAGACCGGGAGGCCCCGGTTAAGCGGCGTCATCGCGCAAACACTGGTTATATTGACAAACCTCGATGTTTTGAGGCAGTGTCCGTAGTCACGAGTGAAGAAAGTTAAGCAAAAAATAAATAAAAAACACATCCTAAAACTGGGACACGTGAATGCAGCGCATACTCCGCATCTGTGCAGACACTGTTAAATAAATATCAAGATCATTAACCATTCAGCTTGCGCCCACATGTTAGCAACCAATATAGGGTAACACTCTATGGGCTCAATAAAAAACATGCGACATCTTCCTCGATCTCCCGTTTAACATAGGCACGTTGGTCAATCTTTTAGAGACGAGGAGCCCGATGAATTGTGGCTGTACGTTTGAATGCCTAGCACGTAAATTGGTCTCATGCTCATAAACAATGAGCGTTAGTTTGTGATGCCGCTGCAAACCCATGTTTCGCGCAACTCTTCTCCATCGTGGTAACAAAGCGTGTCGGGTGTCAATATGTGAGATCTTAAGCGACTAATGATCTCGTTGAATTCTGATCGCAGTGCCTGCACAGATTCGGGTCATTTTCTACCTTCGCTTGCATTCGTTTTCAAATATTATTTTGGCTTAACCGTTTTCACTCACGACTAGGAGCGAAGTAACCAACGCTTGCTTAGTAACACTTTAACGTGGTATATGGAAGGTTGATTATGATCAGCATAAGAACTCCCATCTCAAGAGGAAATCCAGAAGCTCCAGACCTCTCTTGCTCATGTCAGGGTCGCATGGAACGAGACGGGACGGGCCGGAAGGGGCAGCTGGCAGTCGGGACAGACCGTGGGAGCTGCACCAGCCTTAGCCGTTCACTACTGAGCTTCAAAATGGGGAAAACATGAAAACGTGAAATAAGTTGCACGGCACCTCCGAGCCATTATAAACCACGGCACACTCCACTTGCTAGGAAATGTTGAGCGACTTGACACGGCCGGAGGCCAGTCCACTGCAGGCCACGGCACGAGGCGGCAGCCGGAGGCGGCGCTCGCCGGGGGCGGGTGCCAGGCAGTACCTGGAAGCGGATTCCTTCGCCGCACACGGGGATCGTCTTGTGCACCTGGCCGTTGACGACGACGTTGACCAGCTGGCGGTACCTCTTGGCCTCCAGCGGCACGAACACGATCGGCACCTGCCCGGCGGCGGAGCAGGCGCTCGCGTCAGGCGGCGGCAGGCGGGGGAGCTGAGGGCCAGCGGCGCCGCCCCCGCCGCTCGGCGCGCGCAGCGCAGGAGCAGCGGTCCGGTACAGGACCCGGCCACTGGTCACAGGTCACCTGGGTCACCACGGCCGGGCGCGGTGGATTCCGGGGCACTCCAATTACGTAATGGACCCAGTGCGAGCAACCAGTCTGAGGTTGTCTGGTTGAGTGTTGGGCAAGCGCAATAACATGAAGAAATGCCGGACCATCCGGGAGGGCCAAATACACGGATGTGACCGACGTTGCGAGATACTGACCTCTGGAGAAGATGGTTTGGGATCAGGGAAAAAGGGAAAGCGATAAAGGATATCAGTCACTGAACTCGGTGATGCAATGCACGTTGTCGGTTCGCCACAAGCGTACCGTCACTTTGTCCGACGGCGCCACCACCGCCTGCTTGAAGTCGATCTGGAGGAACGGCACGTCCTCGTGCTCCACCCCGATGCTGAAATACGTGACAATTCTTACATTGGCAGCTGTTTATGTTCGACAAATATGCCACCCCTGAACTCCTTCAGCCTAGTGTAATTGATTAATTGCGTTTTGACGGGATGTTGGTACGCCGTTCACCGCTGCCGGGCACCCTCTGCTATCGCAACAAAAACTGGAGCGCATCTTCCGTGCATTGCGCTCATGGGCGTAAATCCAAACAGTGTTCAGAGGCCGCTGATGACAAAACCCGTAGCAAACGTCCCGTTATTTTCTTGCAGCCGGCATTCATAACACGATCTCCAACGCGTCCACGCCTTCGATCACAAACAGCTGAACACCACTTCCACTCGCAATGCCAGCGCACTCGACCCCCGGGCCAAGCGGCTGCGGCGCCCTCGCCGCGACGCCGGGGCCGCCTCCGCCGGCCGGCTCACCTGACCGGCTGTCGGTCCCGGTTCTCCAGCTTCAGCTCCGACACGATGGCCGGCATGCCCTCCTGATGCAGGAAGCAGGGCCCCAGGTCCAGGGACGTGAACGAGTAGGTCACGTTGGGCGGCTCGGCCGCGCCGCGCACCAGCAGCACGAAGGACGGGCCGTTCACCACCTGCGGCACGGGCCGGCGCGACAGCAGTCAGCGGCGGCGCCGGCGGCCGGCGCGGGGCGTCACAGTCCGCACGCGTGTCACGGGCGGGAAGGGCAGCACGAGCCGCTACAGCACGGCTCAAGGGCCAGTCATGAGTGCAGTGACGCATGAGACGCGTCAGACGCAACAGGCAAACTGTGACGATGTTGTGGCTACGTCATGCCTTGGTGCGATACTCTCTACTCACCCACCTTGATCAGTATCTTGATGTTTGAAAATTTGATCTTAGAGGCGCAGGACACACCAACTTTGCAGGTGATGCGCTTCCTGGGCTCCACCAGCTCCCTGCTGATAAAACGGCATAGTACCGGTGTTATCCTTCGCAAACGTCGTTCAAAAATCGCACGACATTAGCAGAACAATTGATCACTCACTTGATGCATACCATTGCTAAGGTGAAGTACTAAGCCAGTTGCCTACACTCAGTTGGATGCGATAACTAGGAAAGATTCGTCAGACCAACTTCACACCTCGTGAAGAGTTTTGAATGAATCCAAAACCAGGTCCTTTTCACTATGTTCTCCTTCTATGCCCGAAGAGCACTTCTATTCCTACTTCAAGGTCGGTGTGTCGGTCGGTCAGTATGTTATCAGCCAAGGCCGGTGTATCGGTCGATCAGTCGGTCGGTTTATCATCAGCCAAGGCCGGTGTATTAGTCGGTCGGTGTATTCTCAGCCAACGTCGGTGTGTCGGTCGACCGGTCTGTCCGTATATCCTCAGCCAAGGTCGGTGTGTCGGTCGATCGGTCGGTAAATCCTCAGCCAAGGTCGGTGTGTCGGTCGATCGGTCGGTCGGTACATCTTCAGCCAAGGTCGATGTATCGGTCGATCGGTCGGTCGGTACATCCCCAGCCAAGGTCGGTGTGTCGGTCGGTCGGTGTAATCTCAACCAAAGTCGGTGTGTCGGTCGGTCGGTGTATTCTCAGCCAAGGTCGGCGTGGCGGTCGATCGGTGTATTCTCATCTAAGGTCGGTGTGTAGGTCGATCGGTCGGTCGGTGTATTCTCAGCCAAGGTCGGTGCATCGGTCCGTCGGTGTATTTTCCACCAAAGTCGGTGTCTTTGTCGGCCGGTGTATTCTCAACCAGGGGCGGTGTATGCATGGCAGACCCCAATATCGCGTCTCTTAACTTATACAGCCAACCGGGCGATATTCCATCACAGCCTGCAAGTTTCACCTGTAATGGGAAAGGGTTACCCAGTACCACATGTCCGGTGACAGGGTAAAGTATGTTGGCAACTGTTCGGGAATCGGGTGTCTCAGTAACACTTATTGGGAGAGACGACGCTCCGTGCACACCTGCTCGGAGAAAGGGTGATCCAACGCCACTTGTGCGGAGGAGAGTGATCAGGGCGTCACGTGGTCGGGCGGAGGGTGACCCGGTACCAGCTCACCAGCCGCAAATTAGCCCAGCATCGCCTGTCCAGGAGGATGGCCCCGCATCACCTGTTTGGACAGAGTGTGGTCTAATATCACCAGTCCGGCCAGAGAATGGCTCAATCTCGCCTATCCGGGAGGGGAGAGGTGGTCCAGTCTCATCTGTCCGGCCAGAGAGTGGCCCAGTCTCACCTGTCTAGCCAGAGGGTTGTCCAGTCTCACCTGTCCAGCCAGAGGGTTGTCCAGTCTCACCTGTCCGGCCAGAGGGTTGTCCAGTCTCACCTGTCCAGCCAGAGGGTTGTCCAGTCTCACCTGTCCAGCCAGAGGGTTGTCCAGTCTCACCTGTCCAGCCAGAGGGTTGTCCAGTCTCACCTGTCCGGCCAGAGGGTTGTCCAGTCTCACCTGTCCGGCCAGAGGGTTGTCCAGTCTCACCTGTCCGGCCAGAGAGTGACGGTGGTGCGCGGCGGCGGCGCCTCGGTGCCGTTTTCCATCTCGAGGGTGAACGGGTAGCCGCCCGTGTTGGTCACCTCGACAGTCCGGAACACAGTGTCCCGGCAAGGAATCTGAGCGGTGCGCGCGGCCAGCGTTAGTCGGCCGTCCGAGCCGTCGCTGAGGGGACGCCACTAAGGCGATGGTTGTGCGAGCGCGGCGAAGGTGTGGGAGTTGGTGTCATCACTCCGACGCGTCATTTTTGGGTCCCTTTAAAATGATATCCTGCATAATCCACGGTCCGGACGATTCATCATTGCAGTGACAGTAACATTTGAGAGGCACGAGTCGTTGTAAGGCATGTTAGAGATCACACTGTTGTGAATGCGTTGTAAAAATGTTTTGCATGCCCCAGCGCATCAATCCATTCGTCGTAACATGGCCCAGTTTACAGTGATCCAGTCCACTAAAGCGACTACAATGTAGTCCGGTGCCAGTGTGCACCTGCGGAGCCGAGCTCCCGTGCGCTGTGCACATACGGGACCCCGGCCGCACGCCCTGCGCACCCACTCACCAGGCCGAGGTCGAGCTGGTTGACGGCGGTGGCGCTGAGCGCTCGGCCGCGGCCCCGCACCTCCTGCAGCGTGGCCTCGGCGCACAGCGTGTAGCCCTCGGCGCGCACCGTGACCAGCACGCCCGACGGTCGCGACTCCACGTGGAAGCGCAGCCTGAACTCGGCCTCGCCGTCGGCCGGCGCGCTGAACTGCAGGCTGGCGGGCGCGGGCAGCGTGTGGGGTGCGGGGCACGCGGGGTGATCTGTACGCGGCACGTCCCGGCCGGCGCTGAACAGCCGGGCGCGGACAGAGTGTGGGGTGCGAGGCACGCGGGGTGATCAGTACGCGGCACGTCCTGGCCGGCGCTGAACAGCCGGATGGCGGGCGCGGACAGAGTGTGGGGTGCGAGGCACGCGGGGTGATCTGTACGCGGCGCATCCTGGCCGGCGGTGAACAGCCGGCGCGCGGCCGGCGCACAGTGGGTCGGTGTAGTGTGCGCTGCATCAACGGCTCTCTGTTTCCTGGCGTTCTACTTTTATTGCCAAGTGCGGACTGCACGCAACCTTCAACACCTACGTGACCCCACACCATTCACCCCTGCTGTGCGAGTCGCAAAAAAGAAATGGATAAGCACTGTCTCCAATCACATTTGAGAGCCGTCTATCGCTCTTACAGCACCTTTCCCCCTCCCCCGAGTTGTGCTCGCCTTACCTGAGGTTGGCCACCCCCTTGGCGGGCACCAGGCCTTCTATCGGCTGCACGTTCAGGCGCAGCGCCTGGTTGGCTGAGTAGCACGAGTCCAGGTCCAGCTGGTAGCGCAGCGCCGTCTCCTCCTCGTTCACCAGACAGAGCGAGCCGTGCGATGACATTCCTGCCGCCAGACGGGCGTGGGCGCATCAGCGGGGTGGTGAGCGCAGCTCCCAACGCTGCACCGTCGGCGGCGCTCGCCCGTCCGGCTGGCTGACAGCTGGGCGGCCCTTTGCTCTGTAGCATGGGCGCGGATCGGCACCACTGCTCACTGCTACGGAATCCAGGTGCGACGCCTCCTCCAGTACATATCACCGAATGTTCTAATCCTGGCACCCCAGCACAAGACAAATTTTGGCAAAATGCTTGGCAGAGGCCTGAGTTGGTCCACAGGAGCATTCACTCGCTCCTTTCCGAACGGAACTACACAGCGGTTTTACCCGCCATTGTGTGAAGGTATGGCCCTCTTTCTGAAACAAGCTCCGTGGCTCTACGTTGAGCTTCATGGACCTATCCTCAGGGGACTATAAGCAGACTCGTATCTATCCACAATGCAGGTAACGGCGTAATGTCAATAGTTCTTCAAAGACGGGGTCGGTGTTGGCGTCAGCGTGTAGATGAGGATGGTAGGGATAGGGATAGTCAACCTATTTTATCGCCTTCTTTCGGATTGCATGCATGTTAGGGCCATGCATAGATTTTCACAGCATTTCTTGCCTTTGTATTTCCATTGACACGCTACAGCAGATGGCCTAAGGTGACCTGTGCTAGCGCCGGCGCCTCAGCCCACCTGTCGGTGCAGATGACGTGAGCTGTCCTGCGCCCTCTCGGGTGACCTAACGTGGCGCGTACCTGCGCGGTGACCTGAGCCGTCCTGCGTCCTCTCGGGTGACCTGACGCGTACCTGCGCGGTGACCTGAGCCGTCCTGCGCCCTCTCGGGTGACCTGGCGCGTACCTGCGCGGTGACCTGAGCCCAGCTGCGCTGGCGCGGCCGACCTGACCGTCTCCTCACCCGTCAGCACGGCTGGCAGCTGCACCAGCGGCTGGCTGGGGTAGATGGCCGGCTCGCGGGCAGTGCCCACCAGCAGCAGCTGCACGGTCAGCTCGTGCTCCCGCACCACAAACTGCCAGCGCGACTCGCACGTGCCCTCCGAGCGAGGGAAGAACTCGAACGTGATCCGTGCCCGCTGGCCTGCCGCACACACACACACACACACACACACAGCCGTGGTTAACACGCCACGTAGACGCGAACAAGTAGCAGTCAACACGTTTAGTCAAAGCAATGTGGGTGTAAGAAAGCTTTATGGGACTCACTACTTTGCTTTCAGTACATGATGCCAACGAACATCTACCAAGATGATGTGAAGTTCATTTACCATGCCGCATAAGAATATATATACATATATATATATATATATATATATATATATATATATGTATGTATAGGGGGTTTGTTGGCGTCCAATCGCTTACAAAGCCAAACATGCACGCTACTGTTACAGCCAAGGGATTTTTACTGGCCAGCGCTTCCACGGCAGCCCCAGGGGTCCGCTGCCGCGAGCTGACACTGATCGATATCCAACCGACAGCTGCCCTCGTGAAGACCCCAGGCGCGTGAGTCCCTGCTCCTGATCGTCTCACTCCTGATCGTTCGCTGATATGCTCAGGTTTCACCTCAGTAGCCACCCCATTGCTACAAGACCTGTCTGCTCACAGCAAGGGTGCGCGTAATGAAGTTTGTTAAAATCGAGCATAAACGGGTACCCTGTGACAACACCGACGAAGCCCCGATGCCAGAGCGCCCTGGCGGCGGAGCGCGCCGCCGGCCCGGCCCGGCAGCCGCTGCGCGCTGAGCGCCGGCCGGCCCCGTCACCTGCGTGGACCACTCCCGACCGGTTGGAGCAGCCGAACGAGCCGACGCGCGGCGGCCCGGCGCCGTCGCCGCCGACGAGCGTGTAGTGCCAGCTGCGCTCCGTCGGGTTAATGACGCTGAAGGTCCTGCGGCGCGGGGACGCCGTCAGGGGAGAGAGCGCCGGCACCGGCGGTCTCTGGCACAGCCCGCTCTGCGTCGCGTTAGACACGCAGTGACCGGCCGTCGGCGCTAGCCGCCGACCGCGCATCTTCGCTGCGACGTCGGCCTGGATAGCCCGCGCCGCATGACTAGCCGCGTCTGATTATCGGAACTGCGCAGCTACTGGGACCATCGTCGCTCCAGCCAGGGTGTCAAGATAAAAACCAGCAAAGGAAATACGCAACTCAAGTCAAGCCATCTCGTCTGGCGGAGACTCAGGCGGTGGCTTCTTGGTTTCCCCAGCAGACTATCAGCATTAGTCATGTGATTCGATGCTTCTCTTAAGAGTTACTCTCAGTGTCTTGCGCGGACCATCCCATCGATCATTACACATTGAACATCCGACTCGCTCCTGCCAAACATGCGCGAGGGGAATGCAAAAATCGTGATGTCTCCACATCACACAAGGAAACCTGACCCATACATGTGAGTGGACTGTTATCACTGGTGTGATTAGTGTACGAGCAAAGCTGTCAGTAAATAACAAGCATCGTTTTCGATGTTTCCCGTGCAAGGCATGCACAGCGTCCAACAATGCAGTCCTTACATGAGACCCAGTCCTGTTTCATCGGTCCAGCCTACTAGCGCCCCCCCCCCCCCCCCCCCACCATCGTACACTTTTACCAACGTTTCTTATTGTTTAATCAGCCATCATTTCCCCACCACGTGGTAGGGATAATTTCCGTTTGAAGATAGCATATAAGGTGTTCACAAGGTGTTCAAGGTGTATGCTGCCGAATATGTTCACTCGATTCAGAGGATCCATTACACTCAGAAGACTAAGAGTATTCGAAGCCTGCTGCTAATGCTGGTCGTGCATGTGGACATTGCTGTGCGGAGTGGGTGTCGGCGTGAGCGAGGTACTGGAAGACAGAAGCTTCAGATTTAGACTACTGATGCTGTATTGCCCCGCGAAGACTGGCACGAGCGCGGTGGCCGCTCGTCTCTCACGGCGACCAGGGACCTGCTGCACGGCGCCGTGTCGTCGGGAGCGGGCCCGCGAGCAGCCGCAGCATCGCTCTCATACATCGGCAGGCCGCGACCTCGGACGTGCACGGCGCATCGCGAGCCGGAGAGCCGACACCGACGCTCCGCCCGCTCTCCGGCGTCAGCGGCGCTCCCACCAGCTCACCTGGCCACCTTCCGGTTCAGGCCGACGGCGCTGATCTGCACGAGGCGCAGGTCGCAGTCGTCGGGCGCGGACGAGCCGGGCCCCTCCTGGCAGCCCGTCGCCTCCAGGTCGAAGTGGCAGACGGGCAGCACGCCGCGGCCCCACAGACTGACCTCCGGCGCAGCCGTCTCCTCCGGCAGGTGCGGGATGCTGTCGGCCGGGCGCCGTCGGCAGACGTGTCAGGAGTGGCAGCGGTACGTTCGAGACCCACGGCTTGAAGTGTTTTGTCGGCACCATCGCGTTAGTCGGTGCCGGAGGTGTTGGCGACAATCCATCGCGCGCATGAGTAAACCTAAGCATTGTGACAAGGGAAAACGAGGGCGCAGTGCTGAACGACGCAACGCTAGCACTAGCACAACGCACGCTAGTGACGACGATACAAAAGTATCAGCAACACATCCGCAGGAAAGTACGTGACATGAACTAGACTCACGACGCATATTCACTTTGCCAGGGCAGCTGCACTTTGAGAGCCGTCTAAGATCGTTGAGATGCGGTGCAATATTAATCCTGACACTTCAGAGTAAATATCAACGTCACAAGCACCAGAGCACGTGCCACCAGAGCACGCGCCGCCAGTCTGTGCGCGGCACCGAGCGTCTCGCGTGACGAGTCGGGAGCGCCTGGCGGCGGCCGGACCGCGGCGCACCTGCAGCGCAGGGTGGCCCTGAACTCCTGCACGTCGAGTGGCGCGAACTGGACGCTGAAGACGGCCGACTGGCCGGGCGGCACCGCCCCGCTGCTCGGCTCCACGATGAACGGCACGTAGTCGGCCAGCTCGTCGATGCGCCGGCTCATCAGCTGCAGGAAGCTGCTGGCACCGCCGTCGGTGCGGTCCGAGCCGAGCACTGCCCACCGAACACGAGCGGCACCAGGTCACGGGGGAGGGGGAGGACGAGGGCGGCAGCGACACGGAGAGGGGAGCGAGGTGGTGAGAGGTCGGTGGAAGGGAGAGATTTGGACTAAAGGGAAGTGAAGGGAGGGAAGGGTGAGAGTACAAGAGAAAGGCGAGATGAAGGGAGAACGAATGCGGGTGATGGGGATGAGAGATACCGACAGAGGGACAGACCCAGGCCGACACAAAGGCGGACTGAACAGGCAGCGGCACCGAGCCGGCCCGACGGCGTCTGCCCACTCGCCTGACGTCTGCGAGTCCAGCTCGGAGCTGTGGACCTGCGTCTGGGCCGAGACGGGCCGCGCCGCCGGCGGCTCGTACTCCAGGTGCCAGCGGTAGCACACCTCCGCCAGGCCCACGTTCTCCAGGGTGATTTGCTGCGAGCGGCACTGCCGGCACAGGGGCGGGAAGGCCGTCACGCGGGGTCGACACTGCGCCTCTGGCGTGGACGCGGCTGCTGCCCAGTGACGAGCCGGACGGCGCCAGCGGCCACTAATGGGTCGATACGGCCCCCGATCACGCTGCCTGCGGGTGATCCCCGGACTACGCCAGCCGGCAGCGACCGGCACAGTGTAGTGGTCCTGGCCCGCCAGCCACCCGGTGACCAAGCCGGCCGGCGCAACGTCGACGCAGGTGTCGAGCCGGCACGCACGCGGGCGGCGGCGGTATGATGGCCGAGGGTTAGCCACACCCCAGCGTATAGGACTAGTGCAACTCAGTCCCGCACCGGCGTGCCAGGCCAGCACAGGCCGCCTACCTGGAACATGTAGGTGTCGTCGAACTCAACCTGCGCGCCGGTGAACTTGACACGCGCCAAGTCCGTCTGCAGCACGGCCGGCACGTCCAGGCGGAGTACCGGCGCCGGCGCCAGCGGCTCGAAGGCCGGCTCCGGCTGGGGCAGCAGCTGGGCCCCGGCGAGGTCCTCCAGGCCAGCCGCGCCGCCGCCGCCGCCTCTGCCGCCGCCGCCGCCGCTGTCTCCGCCGTCGCCGCCGCTGGCCGGGCGGGCTCAAGTCAACAGCCCGTCAGCGCATAGTGTGGTGGATGACGAGCGCGCACCGCACATCACAGGGTGTGCACGCGGTCCGTGTACTCGGGAATCGAGGACATCGCACGCCGGAGGCCGGCACCGCACCACACATTTATAGATGGGCGTCATAGCATCATGGGCTTTCTTGGTTTACCACCCATCTGCCATGCCCCCAACTGGGTTAGCTCAAGCGTATCCAAACCATTGATCTGGTGACAGGGTGGTAAGCACCACGTTTTGCGGAGCCTCGACTTGGGCTACCACACACGAAGCTGATACCAAAACTCAAATGCAGCGGCAGTGGCCGCTCCAAGGGCGGCCGTTTGCGCGCAGCGGACGGCCGCCAGCACCGACCGGGCCAGCCACAGGGAGAGCAGCGGCGGACCGGCACAGCCAGCCGGGCGGCTGCCGCCAGCGCCGGCCACTCACGCGCTGGCGGCGGCCGGCCCCAGCAGCGCCGGCTGCAGCGTGCGGCAGCGCTCGTCCCAGCTGGCGGCGGCCGGCTCCGGCGGCTCCGGCAGCTCCGGTTCGGCCAACGGGTACGTGATGGCCATCACCTGACACGATACCACGTGCTCCGGTGGCTGGGAACACCGAAGCAGCGACATGGTGTCATCACACTCAAACTCCTTCCACTCCTCCGGCTGCCTGAAGCAAACGCGCGGTTCGCTACGCCACCCAGACACTGTCAGACCAAATTGCGGTCGCATTGGCATGCGGCCACCGCGCCAAACGTCCTGCGGGAACGCTGCTGGGAGCCAACACGGCGCTGCACGCGTCCCGACGGCCGGAAGCCTGGCCGCGGTGCCGCAGTCACACCGCGCGGACTTGACTTCGGGCAGCACAGACACGGTTACGCAGGGCCACTGCACTGTACGTGCTCCGGGCGCTGGGAGCGCAGACGGTAGCATGGGACGTCTGCACCACGCGCGCTCTGGCTGCTGGGGGTAGACGCGGCAGCGGGCGGTCCGGGAAGTGGCCGCGCCTCGTCTGCGCGGGACACTGGTGCCTCACGGTCACAGGGCTGGACGCCGCACGCGCTCTGATCGGTTACAAGCCGCCACGTCACCACCAGGGCTGACATTACTGACCCCACATGAAAGCCACCTTAAGCTATAGGGACAATGATCAGCGCATGATGTTCCTCGTCAGCGCGCTCGCAATATTGATGCGGCTCCACCGACAAACACGCTGTTAAAATCTGACGGCACTGACAGCCTTTCCTAGCCCGGCTTCGAGTGCCGAGTCTCTGTACTCCGTTTCTTCAAAGACTATTTTTGTATTTTAGGCAGGAATTGGGATAAGTGAACGAATCGTACGCCTTTTACGTGGTAGAAACCGCATACATGCAGGAGCATTTTTGGTGTCGGCTTTGGCACTTCCAAATGTGTCTATCTGGAATGTTCCCGCCCAGCTAAAGGGAGCGCACTCAACAAAGTCAGTACAAAGACTCCAGCCACGCCACGTCCCATCCCAACCGCGCCGTGCTCATCAGCAGCAGGCCATGCTGCTGCGGTCGGTGGAGGACTACGTGCGCCGCTGACGGAGATCGACGCTGTCGGGGCTCACCTTGGGCGGCTCAGCCTTGGCCTTGCCGCGTCTGGGCGGCGGCGGGATGTCCACCGGCGCTCGGACCACCTGCAGGCCCGGGTCAGGTCACGACAGGGGGGGGGGGTACCGAGGGCGCGCCGCCACGCTCCGTTACGGTACTGGGCTGCTATCAACATGTATAAAACGAATATTGTCAAGAAGCGCCCACGCTTTCATCGCACGTCTAGTTAATTCCGAAGGATCCACATTAGGACGGGAATCGGCGTTATAGCTGTGGCGACCAACGCCCAAACAGTGAGCTGGTTATTACGTCTTGCTTGGAAGGGAAGTCAGTAATGAAATGGGAGCAATACGGAGCCCATACGGCAGCATCCACACAGGGCTGTCTGCTAAACAGCGACTAAAAATAGCTCTCATCACGCCAGCCAATGGATTACTACAGCAACGGGAACACCGGCACAACGGTACCAACAGGATGGAGATGTCCTCTTCGTGAGCGGTAGCATAAAGAGCCGGTAACGGCACCAGAGAGCCCACACATCACTTCTCCGTCCGTCAGCCGAACGGCAGCGTCAGTCGTCGGACACCGCCGACCGGCGCGAGACGCTGAGGAGCCGGCCAGCTCGCCGCTCCGACTCGCACGCGGGTGCGGCGGCACTGCGGGCGCCGGCCCTTTCCGACCCCGCACCTTCTCGAAGTTGATGGCCTCCTGCGCCACGAACGACACGGTGACGGTCTTGATCTCGCGCGGCGCCAGGTGGCCGACGGCCGGCGAGAACGTCAGGTACTGAGAGTTGCTCCACTCGAACCTGCCCGGCCGGTGCGTGTCATGGACCAGGGCGGGGGCGCGGCCGCTCAGGCTCCGGCGGGCGCCCGCCTACAGCGGCCACACTCGGCGGACGAGTTGGGAGGAGTACCCCCGTCTATCATGTGCACCGTCTATCACGCAGCGAATCTGATTAAACGCACCGCTTCCCGTATACGCCGATGTGGCCCAGTGCTGATCCAGTTAGAGCTACCCACAAACACAGATTGTTTGAATCAAAGCCCACGCGGGCGTGCCACATTCATGCGACAGACATAACCTCACGTCAGGCTCATCCAATTAGTGTATACTTCTCAAAGACGCATGGATCTGAGGTGAATTAATCTGACAAAGGACTGGTTGGCATTAAGACGTAGTGTTCGTTGCCTTCATATTTAGGATTATTGTTTTGCTCCAGCAGCACGTGTTACGATATGGTAATCGATTAGAACGCTTGACGTATGATTGCATTCCGTGTACGTGCTGACGGATGTCTTCTCTCGTGACAGTACCATGCCGGTAGTGTTCCGGCCAGCAGAGCGCTGCCTACAGCCGACAGATTCGCAGCCCAGCAGCTGACGGGCGCACGGTGTGCCCGCCGCCTGACCCGCAGGTCACGGCTACAACAGCGGACTGTTGCTGCACGGTCTGACCGTGGCCGAGTACGAGCCGCCGCCGCCGCCGCCGCCGCCGCCGCCGAGCAAGAGCCAGCGCGGCGAGGAGCCGCCGCCCGTCTACGTCATCAGCATGGACATGCCGCAGGTGAGGCAGCCAGACGCGGGGTGTGGCCGCAGGAGACCACAGCGTGGCCTGCGTCGGCCGCCGCCGGCCCGGCTCGTGTCCACGCACCTGTAGCGGCAGGTGTCCGAGCAGTTCTCCATCCGGAACTGACGCCGATAGATGGCGCCGATGTAGCAGGCCACAAACTCCAGCGTGTACTGCAGCTGGGGAGCGGCCCATCACGCCCGGTCACCGCTCCGCCGCGCGGACGCCCGTCATCACGCAAACGCGCGCGCGCTCAGGGCCCATGGCAACTGGCGGTGCTCGGACTCGAAACGGGCGCGCGACGAGCCGTTAGTTTCTGCTGGAATATGAGTGAATATTTCACCAGCAGTCCGTTGGCTGTCTTGCAGACCACAAGGACTGACAGTCCATAGCCACTAAAGACAGTGACGTTCGTCACTGAACCGTCCGCCCGTGGATCTCACGCCGGATTACCATTTTTCTATTAGAGTCTCGTAACCCAAAGCGCGTCTACCGTCTGCTTATGCCGTGCCGTCTGCTCCGGGTCAGCGTGGGAACCCTGTGCCCTCGTGCCGCCGCAGCCCGCGTCTGGCTGCCTCACCTGCGGCATGTCCATGCTGATGACGTAGACGGGCGGCGGCTCCTCGCCGCGCTGGCTCTTGCTCGGCGGCGGCGGCGGCGGCGGCGGCTCGTACTCGGCCACAGTCAGACCGTGCAGCAGCAGTCCGCTGTTGTAGCCGTGACCTGCGGGTCAGGCGGCAGGCACACCGTGCGCCCGTCAGCCGTTGGCCTGCGAGTCTGCCGCCTGCATGCAGCGCTCTGCTAGCCGGAACACTACCGGCATGGTACTGTCACGAGAGGAGACGTCCGTCGGCATGTACACGGAATGCAGTCACACGTCAAGCGTTCTAACCGATTACCATATCGTGACACGTTCCGCTAGAGCAAAACAATAATCCGAAATATAAAGGCAACGAACACTACGTCTTAATGTCAACCACTCCTTTGTCAGATAAATTCACGTTAGATTCATGCGTCTTTGAGAGACGCATACTAATTGGATGCGCCTGACGTGAGGTTATGTCACCACTGGTGCCTTGTACGTAATGCATTGCTGCGCACACAATGCACCAGCACCAGAAACCACAGGAGAGCTTTACGACAGCGCGTCATGTGAGCTCCATTATAAAATAGACTACAGCATTGTGGAATGTTTACCAAGCGCCAAACGGAAGACCAAATAGCGTTTAAAATCCCAGACACGAGGCACCCCCTATGGATCGCATCCACTGCGTGTAGCTGGTGCCGAGACGCAGCGGTGCGGCGGTCGTACCCCTCCCCCCCCCCCTCCCGTCGCCTCTCACCGGTGAACCGCACCGCCTGCCGCTGGAACGAGTTGTAGTTGACGCTGACGTGCAGCAGGCCGCCGCAAGGGCCGACCGCCTGCGGCCTGAACGTCACCAGCAGCACGGCGACGGCCGCCGGCGGCAGGCGCAGCGTACCCAGCACGTACCCGCTGCCACCTGGCGACGACGACGGCCGGTCAGCGCGCCGCCCACGGCAGCCCCCAGCGTGGCCACACCGCCCGCAGCCAGCCGGCAGGTCAGGTCACACGCGCTGCTCGTGCTGCTCCGGCACAAGCTCACTGCGCTGTCCCGTTCCAGGCACGGCGGCTCGTTTGCCTCGTACAAACCAGCGTGTGGCGGTAGTTTGGACGAGGCGTTGCCACCGTATAGGCCACCACCACACGGGTGGTTTGCACGAGGCGCTGCCACCGTTGCCCCCATTTAAGTCACCGCTTCACGGGGGGTTTTGTACGAGGTGTTGCCACGGTTGCCCCCAGGTAAACCACCGTCACCGTGCATGGTTCAGATGTTGCCCTAGCTCACGCCAGTCCAAACCTTGCTGTCGGTCATCACGCCGCGAACAACGCGAATCAGGAGCCGGCCTGCACCGGGTCTGTCACGCGGCTCCAGCAGGCCGCCGGCCGCTGCCGGGACTCACTGATCATGCCGTGCTCCTGGCCCCTGACGGTGAGCGGGAGAGTCTCCTCGTCCGGCACCACTTCGAATACGTCCCGGCCCTCCGGCAGCAGTAGATCCACCTGCCAGCCGGCGGCGGCGCACCCGATCATCAGCCGGCGGCACGTCCAGTCAGCGGTCAGCAGCGGCGGGTACGGCACGTCCGTTCTCAGGCCGGTGTCACGTCCAGCCAGCAGTCAGCAGCGGCGGGTACGCCACGTCCGCTCTCAGGTCGGTGTCACGTCCAGCCAGCAGTCAGCAGCGGCGGGTACTGCACGTCCGCTCTCAGGTCGGTGTCACGTCCAGTCAGCAGTCAGCAGCGGCGGGTACAGCACGTCCGCTCTCAGGTCAGTGTCACGTCCAGCCAGCAGTGGGAAGCCATCTAGCCTACGCTCGCCGGCACGTTTAGCCAGCCATGATTCCCACTTCCGGTGCGACCGCCATTTCCGAGCATGTGTCTCCTATCCTGAATAAAGAACCCGTTACACGCATACGCCTCCGGTGTCTCGTTTCGCACCTTTATTTCAGCAACCAAAGCCAAGCTACAAGCAGGACGGACAGGCTCAGCCGGAGCTCCGTGACCTGGCCCGACCGCCGTCCGGACGCTGGCCAGCAAAGCCTCCGTCGGCAGGGGCACAGCCCTCCCCCCCGCTCCCCTCCCCCCCCCCGCCGCTCCGCCTCACCCGCGCACGGCGGCCCGCCTCACTCACCACGCACTCGATGGGCCCAGCGTTGAGCAGGCGCACGGTGCGGACGGCGCTGTCACCCAGCCGGGTGGAGAGGAAGCCGAGCAGTGGCTCCTGCTGCCGGTTCACCTCCGACGGCTCCAGCACGTCCACCCGCGGCAGCGTGCCCTCGCCCACCACCTGGACCGACGGCCGCGCGCAGCGGCACGGTCGGACAGCGCGGTAACGTCAGTGTCACGCGCAGCACATCGAACACTGCGCGATAGGGATGGGTACGCATGCGTCCGCAACACGAAAGGAAAGGCAGCACACGGAGTCACTGGTAGCCAGCTCTGACCCTGGTGGTGACACAGTGGCTGACTGACACCGTCACGCGATCCCTGCCGCTTCACTTCCCAGACGGGCGACTTGTGAGGCAACACTGACCTCAAACGTGATGCCCTTGGCACGGTCGATTCCAGTGGTTTCCTCTATCTGGATATCCAGCACGTTCACGAACGTCTGAAAACGCCAGGCACAGCTTGGGCGTGACAGGGGTAAGCGGACAGCCGTGCACTGTGACGACACCGAACAGTCGCTGCAAGAAACGCTCAATAGCAAACCGACCAAATCCCATGACGAGGATCTTGACGTGATAGGCACGTGACATTCCAGGATCAGCCGGCCAGGCTATGGTTCCACGCCTCCACACAAATGTGCGGACACAGCTGGTGATGTGGAGGCGCGACAGAGCACCAGCGGCGTGCCTTTGGTCGGGTGGCCGCACCACCGGACGCTGCTCTGCGACCCGACGGCCGACGCCGGGCGTCTGCCCCGCTACAGAACGCAGTGGGCAGCTCCTCAGCCCCTCACCGTCGCTCCTCAGCCCCTCACCGTCGCTCCACAGCCCCTCACCGTCGCTCCTCAGCCCCTCACCGTCGCTCCTCAGCCCCTCACTGTCGCTCCTCAGCCCCTCACCGTCGCTCCTCAGCCCCTCACCGTCGCTCCTCAGCCCCTCACCGTCGCTCCTCAGCCCCTCACCGACCGTCCTCTTCAGCCCCTCACCATCGCTCCTCAGCCCCTCACTGTCGCTCCTCAGCCCCCACCGTCGCTCCTCAGCCCCTCACTGTCGCTCCTCAGCCCTCACCGTCGCTCCTCAGCCCCTCACCGTCGCTCCTCAGCCCCTCACCATCGCTCCTCAGCCCCTCACTGTCGCTCCTCAGCCCCTCACCGTCGCTCCTCAGCCCCTCACCGTCGCTCCTCAGCCCCTCACCGTCGCTCCTCAGCCCCTCACCGTCGCTCCTCAGCCCCTCACCGTCGCTCCCCAGTCCCTCACCATCGCTCCTCAGCCCGTCACCGGCGCTCCCCAGCCATTCGCTGCCGCTCCTCAGCCCCTCACCCACTCACCGCCACTCCTCAGCCCCTACCAGCCCGCCCTCAGCCCTCACCACCGCGCTAGCGGGGCCACCCGGCGAGCGGCGCGCGCCGAGAGCTTCAGCCCGCATCGTGGTGACGTAACATATGCCGTGCAGTCAGGTGCTGACCAACGGCCATAACGCAGTCGTCACATTTAGTGTGAAGACAGCACAGAGCGGGAGTCGGCCGCCTCTCCGTGCCGGCACTGCACAGGCCGACATCAGCGGCACGAGCGCCGGCGTACCTGCAGACCGGTGGGGGTGAAGGTGACCACCACCGGCCGGCCCCCGCGGCACGAGCCGACGTACCTGCAGACCGGTGGGGGTGAAGGTGACCACCACCGGCCGGCCCCCGCGGCACGAGCCGGCGTACCTGCAGGACCGGTGGGGGTGATGGTGAGCACCACCGGCCGGCCCCCGCGGCACGAGCCGGCGTACCTGCAGGCCGGTGGGGGTGAAGGTGACCACCACCGGCTGGCAGCCGTGCACCGCGATCGTCGCTCGCGGTGGGTTCACGTCGAACACCTTGACCGTCTCGGCCTGCGTTCTTCGATGACCGGTTAGTGGAAGCTGCGGTTAGAGGTATGCGCGGTCATTATAGGCGAGCTCCCTGTCGCAGGCGAGGTCTTTTGCAATCTTTGCTTCTTGACCGGACCAAAAAAGAAATCGGTACGTAAAAATTAGACGTTTATAACAGTATCTGTTTGGTGCTTGAAATGCGATTTAGCGTCTACACTATTCCGTGCTTTTACTTTGCACCAGACGCATTTTAACCGGCAGGTATTTCCCCAAACTTATCTCTCCACCGAAAGAAGCCAGAATAATGCAAAACATATCTTCAAACCTCCAACAGAAGCTTTTGTTTGCGTCAGTCCACCATGTTAGTGCGTCCATGTGCGTGGTGGAGGTGGATGAGAAAGGCAGTCATCACATTTTTGCATGAGCTTTCATGACCTTTTTCGCATGTGATCGCATCATCGGATGTTTCTGTTACGACGTTGTTGTTCCTTCAGATAGAGTGAAGGATGGACTTTGAAGGACTACCTCAGATCGAAGACGTCGCGGTGTGTGTGAACAGGAAGCACTCTGTCCGAAAAAAATGTCATTGGGGTACGTTATCCTGCGTCGCATTGGGGCCATGCGACGTCACACAGCCTCAGCGTCTGCGTGCGTCGTAACGCCCCAATGACGACTCGTATTGGGGCTTGTTACGTAGGGGAACTGCCAGTGTTTAACCAGCGGGCCCACACTTCAGCGCCTCTACACCGTCCCCCCGGCGCCTTAGCTCCCTGGCGAGGACCGGGGACCTACCTTGCCCGGGCGTCTTCATCACGACGACCACGTCCACAGGCACCATACTGGTGTTGCGCACGTTGAACGGCGACGCTGGCAGGCGTCGCCGACGATGGTGGGCGCCAGCAGGAAGCGGTTCTCCTCGCGTCCGTAGACGCCGGCGGGCGGCGCGGCCCGACGCTGTCCGGCGGAGGGGCGACACCGTCACGGCTGGCCCCCGACCGACGTCCCGCCGTCACCGGCCCCACGGCGCCTCCGCCCCGGCGGCGACGGGCCTCAGCCCCCCCCCCCCCTCCCCCCCCCCCCTGCACTGACGCCGGAGTCGACAGGCCGTGGCGACTCCATCTCTCGCCAGACTGATCACTGCCGCGTCAGTGACGGTCGCGCGTCACTGTGACGTCACGCCGCGCTGCTCAGACTGATATCTGCCAACGGTCGCATCTCCCCAGCCGGGCGAAGTGATCCCGCAGCACTCACTGATCCCGGGGAGACTCAGTGCTCCCACCCCTGCTGCCAGGAAGGCGGCCTCAGCGCTGGCACACGGCTGCTGGACCAGCGGCCTCACCCTGCTGCCGGGCTGGTAGTCTCGAAGCGAGTCCACCACGCAGTACTCCTCGAAGATGCCGACGAAGCCGCCGTCGCGGTCCCGGATGCTGGCCGTCGTCACCACAGCCAGCAGGCGGAACGGAATGCCCACGCCGTCGCCCGCGTCCGAGATGCGGATCACCAGCTCCTGCCGCAGTGGCCGGCGGGCAGATGTGTCGACCTGGCTCTACATTGTGCGGACAAAATAAAAGTTCCGTGACCCCGGATCTGCTGGCGCGTGAGGCGGGTGTGAAACAACCACTATCCGCGGAATCCCCACGGCTGGTCATCTAAGGAAGACGGCTGAGTGGAGTCCCCAACCCCGGTCATCTAAAGAAGACGGCTGAGCGGGAGACGGGCAGACGGTGGCAGACAAGGCTTGCGACTGAGTCCGCGGAGCTGGGCTCATCTGAAAACGACAGACAGTTATATGGTTGTCCGTGGTGCTCGGCTGTACTTCGGTCAGTGAAGAATAGCTGGGTCCGCAGCTCAAACAGCAGAGGACTCGCTTGCACTCCCTTAACATTTCAAAGGCACAGAATTGATAGCCCGCAGCTCCAGAGCGTGGTGTTGGATTCAAGGCACAATATGTCGTATTAGACTACATCAACTGATGCTATTGTATTGCCCACAGAGTCAACATTTCGCTAGGTGTTTTCGGGACAGTTAACCGAAACTGAATGCGGGATTTGAAGCAGTGATAACAGCATGTACGTACGCGGGATCATTACTGTTCGCAGTAAGCTCAACCAGACATAATTAACAACGATTACTTTTTCACAAGCGTCTAATTACAGCCAGAGAGCAGCAAATCCGTTTCCACAGATCACAACCCTCCGGGCTGAGCCGCACATCAGCCCCACCGTGGCATGGTCTGACGTCACGGCGCGGCCCCCTGCCTTCGACCGAATGTCCGTGGGTGACCTGACTGCACTGACTGCCGGCCGTGCCAACGCAGTGGCCGGGGTTTCGGGCCGACTTAGAGGTAGCCTCTGCCCAGGCCAGGTATGCCTCACCTTACCGGCTATGGAGACAATACATACTTGCCGCGTGATTTTGACCGCATGTTTTCTTTTTCAAAGTCGCCAAATTCTAGCTCAACGTCATCACTCTGTGGCGATGTTGAATGTGCTGCAATACTCGGCCCGAGCCGCCCGCCCACTGGCCTCAGCCTACCTCCACACCTCCAGCCTTTGTCGCCGGTACGGTCCAACCAGCCATGCATGCACACACACAACCGCACGTACCCACACGGACGACATCTTCAAACGTACGTACGGAAGCACGCACATACGCACATAAATAAAAAAGCTGACATCGAACAGAACCAGGCGTGGTATGCTCCGGCTATCGTTCAGAGGGGTGTGACAATCGTCTCCATTTGTTACGGCGGCACCGACCTGCGTGTCGGCCAGCGACTCGTTGGATATGGCCTCCACGTTGACGACAGCCTGCGAGCCGACCGCGATGGTGCCCATGGCCGGCTGCAGGCTGAAGATGCCGGCCGCCAGCTTCATCGCCTTCGCATCCCTGCGGGGGAGCGCCGGCCGAGTCGGTCGCCGGTGCGGGGCGCGGCGCGGCTCGGCGCTGGTGAAGTGAGACCGGACGGGGAGCAACCCCCCCCCCCCCGCCCTCGAATGTCGCCGAGGTAGCCGTGGGAGGACGGCAGCGCGAAAGAAATCACAAGAAGCTCTTCAGTGGTCACGATTTCCCGAAGCCAGTCGCACTGCCTCGTCCCCAGTATCCGACCAATGGCACCATGGGAGTTCCAGTGCCCATAAGGAATGTGTGCGCTGTTGTCCTCGCTTAACTGTACAGCCTAGTTATGGCCTAATGGGGCAAACGTCATCCCTGAGGTGGCTTCTATGCAGTTGCAGGCTTCGTTGCAGTTGCAGGCTTCGTTGCGCTGAACTTAGGACAACGTATCGGCGCGTGGGAAAACGTGACCCAATACTAAACAGCAGGGCATGACTGAAGTGTGCCAGGGCTTCATTAAAATCACCAGAACACCGTCATCAAAATACCTCACCACCACGTTCACAGGACATGCATCTGACGCTCCGTCGATAACGCTACTTGCCACACACAGCGCTTTTCATCTCCACATCCCTAGCACACGAAGACTGTTTCTCCCTGTCTCTGGACGACTGGTGCCGCCCGAGAGTCCTGCCCCCCCCCCCTGCTCCTGCTACGGCCCCGGGGGCGCCCCTCCGGTCGCCCGAAAGTCCTATCCCGCCTGCTCCTGGTACGGCCCAGGGCGCCTCTCCAGCTGCCTGACCCCGCCCACCCTGCCCTACATGCCCCTGCTACGGCCCGGGGGTGCCTCTCCGGCTGCCTGACCCCGGCCGCCCGAGAGCCCTGCCCCGCCCGCTCTTTCCACGGCCCGGGAGCGCCCCTCCGGCCGCCTCTCCGGCCGCCTGCCGGTGACTGACTGTGTGGCCTTGCTGGCCTGCCGGGCGGCCGGCTTCCGCTCCGTCTGGGCCACCGAGGCGACCGACATGGCGCCGCTCGCCTCCTGACTTGTGGACTTGCTGCTCGACGAGCCGGCCTTGGCGCCCGGCGCCCGGCTCTGGCGGAGACAGGCGGCCGCGGCCAGCTCACTCCCTGCACGGCGCTCGGCGGTGCGGGCAGCCGGGCGCGCGAGACAGGCTGAACGGCCGCTCAGGCACGCCGACCACAACCAATCACACGCGGTTTGCTATCGCGTGCACTATCTGCATAGATGGTGTGACAGCGCTAAGGACAACCACGTTGCTTAGGCTTGATCTCTAAAACGCAGCAAAGATACAGAAGCATGACTTATCCTCCAATGTGTTATTGTTGTTAAGTGTACAAACTTATCTTACCTACCTTTCTCGATTTTTCCTTTGGCTGCTCAGACGGTTCCACGTTTTTTCTGATTATATGATAATTGAAGTCAAACTTCCCGTCATTTTTAATGACAAAGAACCCGAGCTTGCGCACAGCAACGGGAAAATAGCCCATATGCAGTTCTTCGCTGGGCGTTACTGAATATCTGGCCAAGAAGAGAAACAGGTGCATTTAATGATTCTACTGTCCACCATCCTAAACTGGTAGGATCAGGTATATTCTTTGAAGACAAGCTTGAGCTCTAGTCAAAACGGAGTTGCTTTATGCTGTTGACGACTACAGGAACACCCAGACACTGCCGCCAGCTCAACGCTAAGCTATCCAAGTAGTAGCCAAGCTATCACACACACACACACGCCTATTAAGTGAATTACGATCGTCATCACATTTTCAAAAACGTCGCGTCATTCTCACACTTAAAATGTCTATACACATAAGGAATTGGGCCCACTGAGCAAATACATCAAATAAATGTGTAGAGAGTTAGAGCGCAGTCTCCTGATTCAGACGGTATCAGCTCGTTACCGCCTAAGGCTTCCTTTCTCTTCCCGTTACACACTTCGGCCCTAATGCAAACATCCCGAGGGATGGCGCTGTCTGGTGGTGCGGCGATCACGGAGCCGTTATAATGCATAACGTTACAGTCAAGCGTATGATACTGACATCTACAGAATGTTGAAACATGGTGAGTTTACGGAACGCAAAAGGAGGAGTTCAGGTGTTCTGTTTATGTTAGCGTTGAACAGCTCGTTGAAATCGCAATTTTCTGCTAAATTTGAGAAAACTTAGGTTGTAGAATTTTGGGATGGCGTACATAATTTCTCTCAGGTACATGGGCCTACTAAAAAGTTACTGTTTTGCTAAATCGTAAAAAAATTATTTATGTTCCCGCCTCGTTTCGTATACTCCTCGTGGCTGAGAGCATTGCCTTTCCGTTAATGATTCTGCAAAGGGGCCCTACGGGCCGTATGCGGGGGAGCAAGCGTGAGGTATTTTAGTTCATAGCGTTACGGTGGAGACAGAACAGAGAAGTGCTAATATTTCAGTTGCTCGGTGTTCGATAGGGTTGAAAACAAGCGAACAACTTGCTTCCTCACAAGCACGTACGTACGCACGCACGCACGCACGCACGCACGCACGCACACACACACACAATATATATATATATATATATATATATATATATATATTCCATCCTATATTCATATCCCTGCATTTCTGCCCACAGGTCAGTATGGGACACCCCCGACGACCGACACCAAGCTGGCGGTGAGTCCGAGCAGGCACCACCGCACCACGTGACTGGGCTCACTCACTTGCAGAAGAGCGCGCGCACGCTGACGCTGACCGGAATCAGAGCGATTAGCTCGCCCTCCTCTTTACGGTGGAAGTCGAAGATCTGCACGCGGAGCATCTGCTTCGCCTTGATCCACATCTCGGTCTCCGTGGTGAAGCCCATCTGCCAGCGAGCGCGGGCCACCGGTCACCGCCAGGGGGCTCGAGCCACGAGAGGTCGGCCGCCGTACATGCTCTTACACCGGCTGTTGGAGCTGGTCACGGGCGCTGGAGCGGACCCGCGCCACGGCAGGTCGGCCGCCGTACACGCCCTTACACCGGCTGTTGGAGCTGGTCACGGGCGCTGGGGCGGACCCGCGCCACGGCAGGTCGGCCGCCGTACACGCTCTTACACCGGCTGCTTGGAGCTGGTCACGGGCGCTGGGGCGGACCCGCGCCATGACAGGTCGGCCGCCGTACACGCTCTTACACCCGCTGTTGGAGCTGGTCACGGGCGCTGGGGCGGACCCGCGGCAGCGGCGTGCCCGGCACCAGGATGACAGCAGGGAGGACGTGGCCCCCTGACATGTGCAGGCACTGAAGTGTTCGCCGCACGTGCCACGAAAAATTCATGATATATTATGCTTTTTTATTTCAAGCTCTTCAAGCCTCTGAACGCCCACGGCAGGTCCGTAGATGGAAGCCTCCGCTCCTCTTTTTCGTCTAGGGATAAGAACCGCTTCCAACATTTTCTTTTATCTAATTTACTACACCGCGGCTTGTAACGCACCGTTCACATACACTCTGATGCGGTGATAAGATCAGTGACGCCGCAGTCTCATAGCAGCCGACGCTGCGCGACGTTCGTTCAGTCGATACGTTCCAGCAGTTACCTATTTGTGTCGCTGCACTCGCATTACGTTGGGGTCCTTTGCAACGTTGATGATTGTGTGACACCACACGGCATTTCACACCGTGACCCGGGACCCCGAAATCTAAGTGTTACTTGTTATGTTCTGTATCACATATTTACCACACATCGAAGTTTAAGCGAAATATCTGATGTGAACGAACATCATCTGCCTTCATGTTATCGTTGCCCGTTAGACGTTACTGCCTTATTGTTTTATTCTGATGTTTCCAAAGACTGTGTTCACTTTTTTCTTAAACCTTGTATTATTGCGTATTTTTTTAGTACAAATTAGCCATGAGTATTATACTGAGAACAATACCACGTTTAGCATATTGTTTCAGTATGATAACGTTGGCACGCTGTGAGACCCCAGGAGCCTAATGTGCCAAGTTTTGCCAGTCTGCTTTCCTGTTTAATTCATTACTCTATTACTAAAGGTTAATATATATATATATATATATATATATATATATATATATATATATATACTGGAGGTTGAAATGGTGCTAGGTTGACGACCAGCGCAGCCTTAGAAGTGCTATACACCTTGGCTATACACCGGGCTATTCAAACGTCTGACAAAGTGCACCATCCACCCGCACGCACCCGTCCATAGCTCGTGCACTTTCCGTCCTGCAAGCGTGACCAAACGTTAGCGTCCCGTCCGGGTGAGGTCAGAGTGGCGCTGCCCTGCTGACCTCGGCTGGTCACCAGAGCGCGGCCGGCCACACACCTGGATGGCCAGAGGCCGCTCGTGCGGGTGCAGGATGCCCCGGTCCGGGTTGATGTGGAAGCCGTGGGTGATGGGCTTCACACCCTTCTGCGGTGGGTCAGGATCCTCCAGCCACGCCCTGAAACCCGTCCGAGAGGTGATCAGCCTCATCGCAACTGATATAGGGCAAGAGTACAATACGGCGCGCTGAGCATGTGAATTGCCTGACAACGGGCTGGCTGGGCGGTAACTTTGCGCTACTGGGCTAGGAAACAGATAGGGTCCGTTCCAGTCGCTGCTCAAAACAAAAGATGAGATGAGTTTGCGGGAGTGGGGGGGGGGGGGCACTAAAAGCGCCCCTTATCGATCTCTTGCGTACTTGTCATACTACGCCAAGTAAGTGAGTCAAGTTTGGCGCAATTCTTTCTTCGTATGTTCTCTACATGCGGGATTGGCACGCATTTTTGTCAATGCGGGATTGGTGCAGTTTCATATATAGCCGAAACTAGTGTGGTTTTGGTTACCATATACCAAATTGTGGTATATTATGAGATGATGTTTTAAGACGTTCTGGTCCGGCCAAACTAATTATGCTTTGTGCTATTCTGATTATGTCGTTTGGACAAAAACGGCCGCATGGCAAAGCTAATTTCGCCGCCGCGGGGCTCTTGTTGCATTGTACTGGATGGTAACGTATTCTTCATGGCTTTTTGATAACCAAGTTGTGCATTTACCTCATGGCATGAAGCCATCAGCTAACTTGTTTCAGGACTAATCACATGCCACAATATGCAAGCAAGGACAACACGAATTGTGAGCAACGTACCGCGGGAGCAGCTGTGGTCAAGAAGCTCAAGTCACGGGCCTCATCACATATAACTGATGGGGTGGAATGGTGTCGCAAGAAATGTTGGAAGGCTGCTTATGGGGAAAAAATCAGTCAAACACCGAACAGGAAGTGAGCTGGTGTTTAATTCACTTCAGCTGGTTCATTGACATTTCGGGTTGGCCTAGGTTGCTACGAAATATTTCTTACTTAAACAATATCTCGTATTTTCCTTTATTCTTTATGGTGAAACTCTGCTTGCTCTCTTCTTTCACTTTGATCGTCCCGAAGTCCACTCCAGTCGCAAGGCCCTGTAAACATGGCGTCATCAGAGCCCCAACCGCGTCGAACACCGCGCTGCCACAACATCTGCGTCACACATACACGCCACCCAGTGGCGTTCCTCTCAAACTACGCGCACCCACGACACCACGCGAACCATGCGCATCCAACACGACACCGGCTCGGTCCTCCTCCCAAGGCTCCTGTCGCACGCCCGGCTGGCGGCCGCCGGCGGCCCTACCTTGGGGAACATGAGGTCGACGGCCACGTCGAAGCCCTCGGCCGACACTGTGATGGTCTCGGACTGCAGCACACCCAGCGTGGCGCGCGGGCTGCGCGGAGACACGCTGTTCTCGCTGCCCGAGCGGGCCGTGCCGCCCGACGCCGCCTCGACTGCCCGCTCCTCCACATGCTCAGTGATCTGGTGGCGCACGTACGGCAGCGGCGGTTGGTAGCCGGCCAGCGCCAGCGGCGGACGGCGTGGCTGGCCTGGGTGGCTGAGGTGGCCGGGGCGCCGCCGCTGCGCGCTGCTCCGCGCGAGCATGGCGAGCCGGCTCCGGAGGGCGGCGCCGGCCAACACCTCACAACACACGGCGCTGACCACCACTGAGCCGCGGCCGCTGAGCAAGCCGAACAGCAGAAATACGTCACCGCACGCCCGATTAGTGAAAACACGCCTCTCGTTTCCAGAGTCATCCTTTGTCAGAAAGCTAATCGTACAGGCTCGTTCATGCGGTTCCACTTCCGCACGTTTTCTACAGCACGTACGCAGTCTTCGGCTGCTACGGGCAAACCGACTGTGGGCGATGCCACGCTCTTAAAAATATCTTACAAATCAGCAATGTGTAGCCGACAAACAGTCTTCGGGCTACGGCTCTAATATATCCGTGGTCACAGTTGGAGGAAAACAGTTTCCACCTCTACCACTCCCCTTCTAACTGAAGGTATATGGTGGTCGATATGACCTGGCCGCTTGAAGTGTCTAGTTTAGAACTGATTTCTAAATGTTACGCAGGGATGCCATTCAGCCTGTTCTCTCCTATATGTAGATGCTCCCCCCCCAAAAAAAAAATCCTGCATCTCACGCTCTCCAGCTCTACATCTTACGTACATCCAGCTCTTGCAAGACACATGCACAAGTGTCTGTTGAGCAAACTTTTATGCTCTCGTGGGCACAATGTACTAATAGGCCTCTGCCACTGCCGTCGGGCCGCCAGACATCACAAACATGACAATGGACACTGCAATTGGTAGTCTCCAAATCACACAGGATGACTATGCTCCCGGGCCGATTCATTTCGATCGTGTTTATACTTTGTACATTGCTACAGCGTAACATAATTTTTATCATTGGAGTTGCTATTTGGAATGAGGCCACAGCAGATCTTTCGCTTAAGATTACAGCGAATACTTCAGAGCAACGCACCCAGCTAGCTTTCGTTGGAGCGTTACCAAAGTTCTCGCCAAGCGCAGCAGAATATTTGGAATCTCCCAAGTCGCCTGCGGTATAAATCTTCTACCAACGGCCGGCAAGCAATCGACGCCTGGCAGCCGTTTTCTGTGAGGCCCGGGATGAAGTGATGTGGAAATATGACCCAACGTCCAGTTTCGACCTATAGCCCGCGACAGCTGACAGACTGCAGAAGCTTCTGCAGAATACATACTGCAGAAGGGGCATACATAGGGGCATACATACTGAACAGGGCTGTAATTGGAAGCAGTGCAGCAGTACAGCCGGCAATTACACTGTGGTAAGATTAGCTTCTAGCTTCGTAAAACAGGCTTCGAGCCACTACCTTCAGTAAGATTACTCTTGTTGACCTACCTCCAGTTTGATTTTCTTGTTATGGTAAAGGCATGGTCGGACCGGCGAGAACTCGACTTCGATCTCGGAGACGCTGAGCGGAGCCAATGTACCTTCTCTGGGCTTGAAGGCAAACCCATCGCCTGTGGTCACCAGTGCCGGCTCGTAACCCGTGGTCAACGCAGCGCTCCAGCGTGCGCAGTTATGAAGCACACATACATGTTGGTCTGCGTGGTGGGACATGACCTTCTTGCCCCACCCGAAATGTACTTAACAAAATATCTAAGTAATGCGAGATTCATGAGAGACCAGTCGAGAAAAGTTGCGTCCTAGGTACGGGCGTCCCCGTGGCATTGGCTGAAACGGCTGTCGTTACGGACATGGCAGGGCTGTTTTCAACATGGTTCGCCGTGCGCAAAAATTCCAAACACTTCAAACTGCGTCAGATCCCCATATGTCGTCTAGAAGACTCTTCACCAAAATGCCGTGGGATTATTTTGCAGCACCAAATACTTCTCAACCCACAGCGTTTGAAATAAAAATCGGCTGAAAACACTGTGGATAGGGGAGTGGGGACATCCACGACAAGTGCCCTTCATAACATGTTCTATAGTGTATCGGTTGCGGCCGGTCGGCGGCTGCCAGCGCCTGCGGGCTCGTGCCGTGAGCAACGGCCCACCGAGCTGGTCTGTGTCGGCCATCCGGTACTGGAGCGGGATCAGCGACTTGTTGGTCAGCGTCAGCTTGCGAGTCTCCTGGCGCAGCAGCAGAACGCGGTCGAATGTCAGCACCTTCTTGTCCAGGTGCACTTCCGGCTTGGCGCCCACGCAGGTCAGCTGGCGGTCAGGCGAAGTCAGAGGTCACGTCCGGGCTCAGCACGGCTGGGGCCGTCTGTCGCGGCGGGGTCGTTACCGCCCCACAGCCCGTGGAAGCAATTGCAGCGCGCAAGCTGCACCGGGACGAAATAAGACAGTCGCTTCAGCCAACGCCAGGTGGGATGGAAACGCTGCTCCAGACGAGGGGATTGTCGGGATATTAACGGAAAATTCGAGCAATTAATATTCCCGATCACAAAGAAGCACGTTTAAATCCAGATGACTCACTCATCTGTGGGCCGACAGAACACTGTTGATATTGTATCACGGACGCTTTTTAACTTGATCATATGGATTGTTTGCTCAAGTGCAGCTGAAGTTGGGGTCCTCACTACGAGCCGCTTTTGGGTGAAGCAAACACCGGCGCCGCCCCCAATAGTGCGGATTATACGAGATAACTTTGCCTCAGTCTGTCAGCCAAATGGTGGTGGGGATTCTGACGCGTCATGAAATGCCACAGCACGGCCGTTCCGTGGCAACGTTTCCCCCTGCATTTTCAATGAGCCACCCCAGGTGGGTTTTGAAGCCGCGAAGTAACGTGCACCGAACGCGTCGCGTCTGCCGCTGCTAGCTGAGGCCGGCGCGATAACGGCCATCTCCCGTGTCCAGCTGCGAACCTTGGTGATCCACGGATCTGGGTTGTCCTTGACGCAGCCGATCAGCATGTCCTCGAACGGCTGCGGCGCCGGCGGCAGCGCCATCACCATCAGGTAGTCCTTCTCGCCCGGAGCCAGGCTCAGCGACGACGGCCACAGCTGCGGCGGCGGCGAGGAGCGCGCGTCACGCGGCGCCGGCCCAACCGGCCGCACACACCGCGCCGCGAATGACAACAGCCGCGGCGGCGGCGACAGACCCAGAAGAAGATCGAACAAAGCGGGCTGAATCGCACGCGCCCGTGGCGTCTTGGATCGGCGGCCAGCAGCAGCCACGCACAAACACGCGCAAATACACACACGCGCACACAAACACGCAGACACACAGGGATGGATGTAATGCGGTGTAGCATATTTGTACGCGTCACGGTTTCAGCTTGCGAGCCCGTACTCCTTCTGCGCACCATGCGTGCGTGCGTGCGTGCGTGCGTGCGTGCGTGCGTGCGTGCGTGGCGTGCGTGCGTGCGTGCGTGCGTGCGTGGTGTGTGTGTGTGTGTGTGTGTGTGTGTGTGTGTGTGTGTGTGTGTGTGTGTGTGTGTGTGTGTGTGTGTGTGTGTGTGTGTGTGTGTGTGTGTGTGTGTGTGTGTGTGTGTGTGTGTGTGTGTGTGTGTGTGTGTGTGTGTGTGTGTGTGTGTGTGTGTGTGTGTGTGTGTGTGTGTGTGTGTGTGTGTGTGTGTGTGTGTGTGTGTGTGTGTGTGTGTGTGTGTGTGTGTGTGTGTGTGTGTGTGTGTGTGTGTGTGTGTGTGTGTGTGTGTGTGTGTGTGTGTGTGTGTGTGTGTGTGTGTGTGTGTGTGTGTGTGTGTGTGTGTGTGTGTGTGTGTGTGTGTGTGAGTATACCATATCGATACCGATCAGCTTGAGCATTCGCAGATGAACGCGCCACAGACACGCCCCGGTAAAAACCGTGTTCCCCGGACCGGTCAGAGGCCCCAAAGGGCCAGTATGTAGCGTTGTACGAGCGCAGACAGCCCCGCCTCAACTGCAGACACCACGCGTGCGCCGTCATCAACAGGTCTGCGAGACACGCGTGCACAAGACCGGCCGCCCTTCTCAGACCCCGGAGACGTGACGCAAGGCGGCGCACGGCGCGATGCGGCCGCGCGGGAAGAAATGTGACGCGCCAAGGCAAGGGTGTGTGATGCGACCTCTTAGCAGAAAAAGCTGTAGCCGTGGGGCAGCATGCTTAACCCGACAGGTGTCAGCGGCTCCCCATCCTCACACAGATCGCGCCCCTCAGCCGCGACCAGCGAGCTGGCCGCGGTGCAAGCGTTTACCTGGAACGGCGGCACCTTGTACGTGTCGTTGAAGAGGTAGAAGGTGATCTCCACCGGCAGCGGAGAGATGTTCTCCATAGTGATCTCCGCCAGATGACCTTGTGGACTGAGGAGGGCAGCGTCCGGTCCATAGGAGGGACATCAATCATGCCACACAGCCAGCCGCGGACACGCAGCCCAGCCGCAAACACACGAACTCACACTATCGTGCGCAGTTACGACGGATCTATCTCGTCACCCGCATACGGAGGGCACCTGCGGCCAATCACCATCCAGCAAAACTCTGCGTGAGCCGACTGGGCGTGCCTCAGTATCCCCGGACCACAGGTCTGACGCCATCATCGCCCAGAAGCCAGTATTTCATTGACAAGAGCCGTCTCGTGGTCAGCAAATGCGACGGTACGTGTCACAAGTCATACACACCGACTTTCCGACTGCTTTTGCTTTCTGGAAGTTCACCTGTTCGAACGCGTCGTGGCTTCTTTTGACGCCACATATTACAACACCTTGCAAGGTGGCTATTAACGAAGAAGGGACCTCAGCCGTCCTCGCAGACCAGAGACGCTCCTGATTTGACAGCGGCCATCTCCGCACACATCAGCGCTGGGGTGATCAGCGGCGGGGGCGAGCGGCTAGCGAGGCCGAAGCCGCGGCTCGCGGGGCTGGAGCCGCGGCTAGCGAGGCCGGAGCCGCCACTCACGCGAGCGGCGGGCCGACGGTGGTGGAGGCGTGCCGGCCCGGCCGCTGGCTCTGCTTCACCACCGGCAGCGGGCCGAACGACAGCGTGCGCGAGCTGCGCACGAACGCCACGCCGTGCTCGTCACCGGGGTCGTCCAGACGCATCGGCACCTGCGACGGCCGGCAGGCACAGGGTGGCCACGACGGCACAGCATGGCACGAAGCCGCCACCACGGCACGGAACGGTCAAGGTGGCACAGGGTGGTCAAGGCGGCACGGAGCGGCCGGGGCGGCACGGAGCGGTCAGGGTGGCACGCGGTGGTCAGGGTGGCACAGGGTGGCAACCACACTGACTGAGTGCAGCTGCCGCGGATACGTTCACACCGGAGACGGAAGATAACGCTGGGATGGTGACGGAAGAAATGGTCGAAGTGCTGAGGGGAAAAAGGGCGCCGAGACCGCATATGGCGTGTAGCTACTGTTCGAACACTAACCAGTGAGTCAACTACACATGAACCCCTAAACACCGCAGTGACGGCCACTCCGCTTGCGGTTCCGGCGATGCCCATCAGCTGATGATGCCCATCCCCCGCTGCACAGTGCCCGGTTCTGACCGGGCTCCGCAGCCTACTGCCGGCCGCCGGTCCGGACACGGGCCCGGACCTCCGCCCCGCAGCGGCGCCGCTCACCTTGGGGTACAGTGTCTTGACCCGGACCTCCGCCCCGCAGCGGTGCCGCCCACCTTGGCGTACAGTGTCTTGACCCGGACTTCCGCCCCGCAGCGGCGCCGCTCACCTTGGGGTACAGCGTCTTGACCCGGACCTCCGCCCCGCAGCGGCGCCGCTCACCTTGGGGTACAGTGTCTTGACCCGGACCTCTGCCCCGCAGAGGCGCCGCTCACCTTGGCGTACAGCGTCTTGACACGGACCTCCGCCCCGCAGAGGCGCCGCTCACCTTGGCGTACAGGGTCTTGATCTTGCGGTTGATGAGCGGCAGCACGCAGTCGCCGGAGCAGCGCAGCGTGTAGCGACGCCGCGTGCCGGCCGCCTCCAGCCCCAGCTGCGCCTGGTAGCGGCCCGGCCGGTGCACCAGGAAGCTGACGGTGAGCGTCAGCTCGCCCTCGGGCGGCACCACCCAGCGGTGGCCCGAGATGACCGGGTCGTCCCGGTCTGAGGCAGGGGACGGCGAGGGCGTCACAGGCACGGCCACCGGGCGATGGCCGGCACCACCCAGCGGTGGCCCGAGATGACCGGGTCGTCCCGGTCTGAGGCAGGGGCGGCAAGGACGTCACGGGCGAGGGAGTCACGGGCACGGCCACGGGGCGACGGCCGGCTGGCGGCAGAGCTGCCAGCCCAGACGTACCGTGACACAAGACGGGAGACGTCCTAGGCGGCTGCACTCACGCAGCGCCTGGTAAATAGGCACCGCGCGGCGTTACGTTTTGGAGCCGCGCGACACTCCGCGCCTGTTACATGGTACGCTCCCCTTCTCCAACATCCGTCTGCTGCATTTAACACGAGCAAACACGGCCTTCAGCTCCCGGTTTTTTTCTTGTTTTTTTTTGGTCTTATGATCACTCGAGATCTTACGAGCTCTGAACTCATAATCCTATATGTTGTCACGCTTCACTCAAGCGGCGCTTGGCTACAGCCGCACACGTTCAAGATACGGTCGCTAATACGCCAGTTTCAAGCCCTGTCCCACTCACGCAGCGCCTGCCGACACCCTGTCCCACTCACGCAGCGCCTGTCGATACCTTGTACCGCACACGCGGCGCCTGTCGATACCTAGCCCCACTCACGCAGCGCCTGTCGATACCCTGTCCCACTCACGCAGCGCCTGTCGATACCCTGTCCCACTCACGCACCGCCTGTCGATACCTTGTACCACACACGCGGCGCCTGTCGATACCCTGTCCCACTCACGCAGCGCCTGTCGATACCCTGGCCCACTCACGCAGCGCCTGTCGATACCTTGTACCACACACGCGGCGCCTGTCGATACCCTGTCCCACTCATGCAGCGCCTGCCGATACCTTGTGCCACACACGCGGCGCCTGTCGATACCCTGTCCCACTCACGCAGCGCCTGTCGATACCTTGTACCACACACGCGGCGCCTGTCGATACCCTGTCCCACTCACGCAGCGCCTGCCGATACCTTGTACCACACACGCGGCGCCTGTCGATACCGTGTCCCACTCACGCAGCGCCTGCCGATACCTTGTACCACACACGCGGCGCCTGTCGATACCGTGTCCCACTCACGCAGCGCCTGTCGATACCCTGTCCCACTCACACAGCGCCTGTCGATACCTTGTACCACACGCGCGGCGCCTGTCGATACCCTGTCCCACTCACGCAGCGCCTGTCGATACCTTGTACCACACACGCGGCGCCTGTCGATACCCTGTCCCACTCACGCAGCGCCTGTCAATACCCCGCCCCACTCACGCAGCGCCTGCCGACACCCCGCCCCACTCCTGCCGCGCCTGCCGACACCCGGCCCCTCTCCTGCCGCGCCTGCCGACACCCCGCCCCACTCACGCAGCGCCTGTTTGATGGCGGTGGCCAGGTCGGTGTCGCACTCGCCGCCGCAGGAGCCGGTGTTGCGCTGCTCGCCCAGCAGGGAGGCCTCGCTGCCGCGCCGCCGCCGGTTGGCCCGCCGCTGGCCGCGACGTTTTGGCGGCGCAGACTTCTCCGGCGTGCTGCGCTGCGCCTTCTCCTCCTGCAGCTGTCGGCGCGTGCCACCATCGGACCAGGCTCAGCGGCCAGCCATCCCTTCGGTCGGATTTGTCATCGGTTTATCCAGGAGTCGTAGAAATGCAAAAGGTAGTACGCATAGACATACAATGCAAAGCGTTTCATCTTACACACAACCCGTCCAAGATTGTTGGAGCAATCCGTTGGTGTGCAGCGCCTTGGTACAGACCAGGACACAGCCCGTTCTGTTTCGACCTGGTGTACGCCAGGCCTTATGAGCCCTTGACGGTGGGATGATCGGGACGGACAGAGATCCCGTCATCAACGCTTATGGGTCGTCGGATAGCCTGGTCAGGCCAAATCTCCAGAGTACTTCGGCCGGGGAGACCGTAAGGCGTAAACGCAGGTCACACCGAGCGCTCGCTGTCTGCCGAGGGATTCCACCGCCCTATCAGGTGCACTGTCTACCTCCAGTCCTTTGAGGGATGCGCCGTGGGGCGGCGCCATGCAAAGCGCACTTCGGCAGGCAGGAGGCGAGGGGGCGTAAGCGCCGGAGGCAACGTCTCCGAGCTGGAAGGGGCGCTGCCTAAGGCGTGTGCACGACAATGGGAAGCTGCGAGAGGTGGGCGTGACCGGTGGAGTGATGGGCCTCCCCATCGTGGACGAGACGCGAGGGAGCGTCGTTTGAATAGGCAGCCGCCACCCTGGGGTCAGGCGAGGGAGCCAGTGGTTGTCCAGCTTTGGAACACCTGATGCCGGCCCAGTAGTCGCGTCGGTGCCAAGTTCATAACAAAGTTACCTGATGTTTTAAATAGAGCGTGCACGTGACTACATTCTGTGTCTAAAATTTACATACCAGCTGCTGCTCCTAGAATCGCCACGCGTAGCCGCCGAGGTGTGGCGTCCCAGAGCGGGGAACTGACCTTCTCTGCGGCCGCCTCGGCCAGTGCCGCTTTCTCGGCCTCGTCCAGCTTGAAGGTGAAGACGGGGTCCCCACCTTCCGGCAGCGTCCGCAGCGGTGGACACTTGACGACCGAGAACGTGCGGCAAGGCGCCACCGGCGGGCCCTCCGGACCCAGACCTGCACGGGCGCACCGCACCCGAGGTCAGACGCGCGCGCCGAACTAGCGCGCAGGACGGGACAGGAGAGCCTGGCTGGGTGAGCGGGTGAGCGAGGGGCCAGGTGAGCGGGTGAGTGATCATCACGCTTACCAGGCGAGTGTGAAAGTGCAGGAGAAGGACAGGGAAAAACAAATGTTAAAAGCAAATCTGTGCGTATTACTCTCGGATGAGGCTAAAAAGCAGTTTAATAGACACAGACTTAGACCAGCCCGTGATTCTGTCCGTGACGTGCTATGACACGAATCCAAGCAAAACACCCCAGACGCTGGCCTGAACAGCGCGCACGTGACGTAGAATTAGCAATCGCGACAAATTCACGTCGCGTTTGTCGTAAATATCACTCTACGCCACATCCACAGCACATCTGGCCATGAACGTACAGTGATGCGAGCGAGGATACCCGGCACGGCTGGCCAGCCAGATCGGCCGCCAGCGGCCGCCGCCCGCCGGGGTCGCCACGTACCCATGTCGTCCCTGACCACCGTCGGCTCGGGCAGCACGCCGGTCTCTGTCAGCATCTGGTAGCAGGCGGCGGGGGCCAGCGAGCCATTGAGCAGCACGTGCGTGACGCCCAGGTCAGTCGGCACACGGAAATCGTCCACGGTGGTCGCCCGCTGCCGGAGAGGCACGGCGTCACAGGAATGGCTGAGCAGGGGGGGGGGGGGTGCAGAGGGACATATGTCGCCCGCTGCCGGAGAGGCACCCGCGTTAGCGGACGGGCTGAGCGGGTGGGGGGGGGGGAGGGGCAGGGGAACATATGTCGCCCGCTGCGAGAGGCACGGGCGTAAAGGGAACGGGAATGAAAGGAGGGGGGGGGGGGGAGGAGGAGCAGGGGAACATATGTCGCCCGCTGCCGGAGTGGCACGGCGTTACAGGACGGGCTGAGCGGGGGGGGGGGGGACATGTGCGGCCCGCTGCGGGGTGACGTGGGCTGAGCGGCAGTGGACAGGCTTCACCGTTCAACTGTCGGTGGATACACCGTTATCAACGACACTGACAAAACTGTCGAGCAACAAAACAAGGTGGCGTCTGGTATGCCTCTTCAGTTTTCACAAATACTGACGTTGCATGAGGGCCAGTTTTATGTCATTAATTAGTATTGTTGCGTAGGTTCCAAATATAACGCACAGTTCAAGTGAATGCTGCTGTGTATACGATGCATGGCGCAGGCAATAACGTGATAGCACATCTTCTTTACGACACGAGGCCTGCTGGGCAAGCTGGGACGTTTCCTCTTCGATGTGGTGTTGCGCGGCGGCGACACCCCATGGCATGTCTGTCGATGCTCAAATCTGCCGCTGGAGGCAAAAAGAAAGCGTGCGGTCCACCGCTTTAAATAAGGCCATGTATGTTATATTTTAGATATTGGTAATACATGGTCTTTCACATTGTAATGACATTCATCGCCCTCATTTAATGGTACTGTAGTTTGCGCATGCAGCAGCATTTTCTGTAGTATTCTGTGTGGGGGAAATCGCTTTATCAACGTTAAAGTGTTCCATCTGCGCGGCGATGCCAATACGTATATATGTCAGTATATATATATATATATATATATATATATATATATATATATATATATATATATGCACGTTTAAACCGATCGTACAACTTAAGCACAAAAGAGCTCTCCAAGACGTTCGATATAGGGAAGGCTGCCTGTCCCGGCTACCGCAAGGGTAACCTATCGAACATTTTAACCATTGAGACTATTCATTATTGAAACGGTACGTAGCCGAACGCAAGCCGTGTGGATGCCGGCGCCGCCATGGCATCGGACACATTCAGAGCGGTATCCGCTGCCAACTCTGGTCCCTGCGCGGCCGACCGCTCAGACGTCTTCCCATATCTCAGCTCAACAAACTAACGTAAGCCTTTAAGGGACCGAACGGTTGCCAAACCAAGACTGAACGGCTTTGGCAGAGCAATGTAACTCGTGTAGAGTTTCATCATGAGTATATTCGCTCGTGGACCATGCGTTCCATATTTCCACCGCGTCCCGCGTACCGGCCGCGCGTCAGGTCAGGTCACGTGACCGACCTTGACCGTCGACCGGCCAATCAGCTGCAGCCTGCGGCGGCGGACCGCCCGCGGCCACGGCAGCCAGAGCGGAGCTGGCAGCCGCCCGGCCGGCCGGCGTCCAGTCGGAACTCGGTGGGTGATGGCGGCGCGGTGGGGGCTATTTCTGGTGCTCTGCGCCGCGGCCGGGCCGGCGGCCGGGCCGGCGGCCGCCGCCCGGCACGACGGCCGCAAGGTGGGTCGGCTGCCCGAGCAGGCCGACTTCACCGCCGTGATGGAGCCGCTCTCGCTGTCAGAGCGCGAGCTCTTCTACCACCTGACGGACGAGCTGAAGACGGCGTTCCGGCTGCTGGACGCCGAGTCGCGCCGCCGGCTGGTGGCCGCGCTGGAGCAGACGCCCGGCCCGGAGCGCTACGCCCAGCTCTCGGACGCGCTGACCGCCATCGCCGAGCAGTGGCGCGCCGAGGACGGGTTCGTGGTGGGGCCGCGCATGGCCGGCCGAGGCGCCGAGGCCGGCCGCGCGACCCCTGCCGCCGCTGCGCCGGCCTCACGCCGCCCGATGGTGGTCGGCCCGATGCGGACGTTCACCACGCCGTCGCTGTGGGACCTGCTGGCGGCGGCTCGGCGGGCGGGCAACGCCACCGGCCTGTGGCGGCTGGCGCTGGAAGGCGGCGACCAGCTGCGCCTGACGGCCGAGAAGCAGCTCGACCCCGCGCAGACGACCGCGCTGCTGCCCGTGTACAGCGCCGACGCCGCGGCGCCGCCTCAGCTGGTGCAGGTGACCTTCCGGCCGCACAAGGCCAGCGTGCGCCAGCTGATGAGCCAGCCGGACGAGCTGCTGCGCACCATGGCGCCGGCCGAGGCGGCCGGGCTGGCGGCGCGTACCGTCACCGCCGTGGCCGTGGAGCACGCCGGCGACGTGACGGTGACGGGCGCGCTGGCGGCCGCCTCCGCCGCCAACATGAGCGACACGCAGCTGGAGACGCTGGTGCACAGCCTGCTGCTGCGGCCGCTGACGTCGGCCGAGCTGGCCGCGCTCGCCGAGCTGGTGCAGCAGCACTGGCCGACCGAGCGCACGGCCTGGTCGCCGACGCACGTCAGCGTGCTGACGGCGCACCGCTGCGACCTTGTGCCGCACGTCTCGCTGGCCACGCTGCTGCCGCTCGACGCCGACACGGTGGCGGCCGTGGTGGCGCGCTGCCAGAAGGCGTGGCTGCAGACGCCGGCCGGCTCGCCGGCGCTCGGCCCGTTCGTGCGCACCTGGCTGCTGAAGGAGATGCGCCGCAGCGGGCCGCTGGCCGGCTGGTCGGCCGACGCGCTGACGGAGAAGGCGCTGCTGCTGGTGGGCGCGCTGCCCGAGGAGCTGGCCAGCATCGACCCGGGGCAGCAGCGCAAGGCCGGCACGCCACTCTCGTTCGCCAGCCTGAACCGCGTGCAGGCGCAGCCGGTCATTGCCCAGCTGCTGCGGCCGGCCAACAACATGACCGAGGCGAGCAGCCTGCACGAGCTGGCGCGCCACCTGCGGCCGGCGCACGTGCGCCAGATGGGCGCGCTGAGCCACCAGTTCCTGTCGCTGGCCGGCTGGGCGCTCGACGCGCACCGCGAGAGCGAGCCGTTCGAGACGCACCTGCAGATGCGCCTGCTGCTCGACTCGCTGCAGCAGCCCAACGTGACGGCGGCGGACGTGGCGCGGCTCGGGCCGTTCTTCTACACGCTGCCGCTGCACGAGGTGTACGCCCTGCACGGCAAGGACGGGCTGCAGCTGACGCCCCAGCTGCTGGCCAACATCTCGTCGCCGCGGCTGGAGCCGATGACGCGCCGCCTGCTGATGTCGATGTTCATGCTGGCCGGTGACCGGCTGTGCGCCGGCTGCCTGCGCGGCGTTCCGCCCGAGCTGCTCGGCAGCATGACTGACGCCAGCCTGGCGCAGCTGCGCCGGCGCGGTCTGCTCACCGCCGACGCCGTCGAGCAGCTGATCCCGGCCGCCGACCACATGCTGGCCGGCAAGCGGGCCGAGCTGCTGGACGCGGTGCGGCGGCTGCTGCGCGTCGGCGCCGACCCGCCGCTGCTCGGCAGCCGCCAGCTCTGGGCGCTGGCCGGCCCGGCCGATACGCCGCTGCTGGTGCCGGCCCTCATCCGGCGCATGGAGACGCTGGCGCGGCGCACGGACGCGCACGGCCTGCTGGCAGCGGCCAGCCAGTACCCGCGCGCGCTGCTGGCGGAGGTGCTGGCGCACTACCGCGGCCAGCAGGCGGGCGGCAGCTGGTCGGCTGAGAGTCTGCTGGGCCGACGGCCGGGCTGGCCGCGCGCCGCCCATGGTCCCTGGGTCTACTTGACCGGGCTGAGCTGCGCCGACGTGGCGGCCGTGACGCCGCTCGACCTGGTGCCCGTGGCCGAGGAGTATGAGGGTCAGCTGCGCGCCACGCAGGGCGCGGCTGCCATGCCGCTCGAGGTGTGCGTGTGCCTGCAGCAGCGGCTAGTGCTCTACCTGCAAGTGCGTCACGCCATGCTCCAGCACGGCAACATCAGCGACCGCGGGCGGATGACGCTAGCCCGCCTGCAGAACGGGCCGCTGCACCGGCTCTCGTTGGCCGAGGTGCGCGCGCTGCCCGCCTGTCTGCTGGTGCTGCTGCCGCCGCACTACCTGCTCTCGCTCGGCCGACCGCAGAGGCTCGTCGCCTGGCTCAAGATCGGCCGGCTCACCTGGCCCGAGATCATGCCGCACCTGGCCGTGCAGCAGAACGGCGGCACGTTCCGCTGGGTCGCCCGGCGGCTGCTGCACGACCTCAACGTCTCCAACGACACGCGCCTGACGTTCCGGCACGTGGCGCAGCTCAACCAGCTGCTGCACTTCGTGGACGCGGACGTGGTGTCGCGCATCGAGCCGGCCGCCTTCCGCGAGTGGATCTTCACGCTGCGCACGGCCGGCGAGCGGCTGGTGTGCCGCCCTCACCGCGCGTGGGCCTCCGTGCTGCTGCGCGCGTTTGGCCCGCCCGCCGCCTGGAACATGTCGACACCGTACTACCTCGGCGGCTGGGTCTTCGCGCTCAACGCCACCGAGCGGCGCAACATCAGCCTCGGCCACCTGCGCTACGCCGTCGACAACCACAACGCGGCGCTGTTCCAGGAGCTGCCGGGCGTGATCGGCGCGCGGTCCGGCCGGGCCGTCACCTTCCTCGAGGCGTGCCGCGACCTGAACGACACCTCGTACGACCTGCGCCTCCTGTTCGACGCGTCTCTGCTGGCCGGCGTGGTCGGCTACCCCAAGACGCGCGTGCGCCGCGCCGCCGCCGGCCCGGCGGCCACCGCCGACGAGTTCCGCACACTCGTCAACAGCATGCTGCACGCCATTCAGGCGAGTAATGCCTCGCGCGCGGGCCGCCGCCGCGCCCAGGAGGTGGTGTCTCGTGTGGCGGCGGCGCTCCAGCGCAGCGGCGATGGCGAGGACACGCCCGGAACCACGTACAACTTCCGGCCGGCTGACGGCAGTCGCGTCAGCTGCGACGACCTGCGCGCGGCCGGACCGGCGGCCGCCGCCGTCCTGCCGCACGAGCTGCACGAGATGGCGCGCACAGACTCGTTCGGTCTCTGGAGCTGCCTGGACGCGCCTGGGCCGGCTGCGGTGGTCGCTGGCCGGCCGGCGCGTGGCCGACGTGTGGCCGGCCGCGCGGCTGGCCAACGGCGACCGGCTGCTGCCCGACAACGTGGCCCACCTGGGCGGCCTGATGGCGGCGCTGACCCCGGACGAGCTGGGCAGGCTACAGCTCGACAGCGGCGGCCGGCCCTCTAGCGACGCCATCGCCGTGCTGGGAGGCCGCGACTGGAGCGCGGAGCAGCTGGCCGTGCTGGTCAACGCCTCGCTCGGCGTCACCGAGCGGCAGGCCACCAGCCGCGTCCACCAGTACGCCGAGCCGGCCTACGTCAGCGCGCTGGGCAGTCTGCTGTGCGGCTTCAGCCCCGACCAGCTGAGGCAGCTGTTCAACGGCTCGCGACCGCACCTGTACCGCGACACGGCCGCCGCCGTCGGCCGGCTGGTCAACTGCCGGCGCGACAGCGTGCTCGAGACGCTGGCGGAACTGGCCGTGCAGACGTTCGGCCCGACGGCCGACTGGAGCCAGGCGACGCTGGCTGCGGTGGGCGCGGCGGCGGCCGGCCTGCGCCGCTGGCAGTTTGAGATGCTGTCGCCAGAGGCGCTGCGCGGACTGCAGCCGTACGCGGCGCGGCGCGCGGCCGCCAACGTGCTGGCCATCGGTCTGTCGGCGGCGCAGCTGCGCCAGCTTCCGCCGCAGTCGGCACGCGAGCTGCTGGCGCAGCCGGGCCTGGACACGCAACAGCTGGACGCCCTGCAGCACGCACTGCGTGGGGCGCGGTCGGCGCGCGCCGCGCCGCTGCCGCCGCCTACCTCGCCCCGGCCCGCCGCTGCTGCTGACCCGGCGCCCTCCACGCAGCCGGAGCCGGAGCCGGAGCCCGAGCCCGAGCCCAAGCCAGAGCCAGAGCCGGAGTCTGAGCCCGCGGGCAGCTCCGAGCCGAAGCTAGAGCCGCAGCCGAAGGCGCAGTCCAGTGCCGAGGAGCCCATGCAGGAGGGCGGGAAGGGGCTGAAGGGGGCGACGCCACCGCTCGCTGGCCGCCACACAGTGTGGCTGGCTCTGCTGACACTAGCGGCCGCTCCAGCCGTGGCGTAGTACCACTGGCTTCGCTGGCCGACGGTGCAGTGTCGGTGCGTTTTTTCTTGTTTGCTGGAGCTTGCTGTCGGGGTGGGCTCGCTGTCCCAAGCGGTAAAATTGTGCATGCCTGGTGTGACAGTTCTTTGTTGTTGGTCACGGTAACTAATTCGTGTTTCTACAACGCGATCTATCTCGTTCGGTATTTCATATTTTGTGAGGGTCGGATGCGTCTATGCTGAATACATATCCCAATCTATTATATTTACTATGCACGCAAGCATATGAACTTCCACTGCAAACCACCCCAGTGGCCGCTTCCCTTGAATGTGACAGGTGGTATATATACTTGATGTTTCTTACGGCGTGCATGGCATGAAGTCTATTAGTGAGCTGCTCGATACGTAAGCATGCGCGGTGTCGCTACGAACGCGGCACGGCGAGATATTCCGGCCAGCGCTCCAATCGCGGGGGTATCGTACGGGGTTCGCAGGGAGTTACTGACGGCTTAAATGTTGGCGAATGCGGCTGTACCCCTCGCCTGACTGAGCCATTTTACACCCTCGTCCGACGAGGGGGCCTGACTGGCACACTCCTAACTTTTGAACTACGACGGGTAATCGGGAGCAAAACCAATGTGCTTTTCGCTGCCTTAGCTATATGCATAAATATATTGTTTGGTTTAGGTCAACAGGTGCGGATTCAGGTCATGCAAATCACTTTGAAATGTCCATGCAGGGAATGAAACGAAATGGTCTCGGCGGAGTCACTTCCAAATCACCTTGTTGTCTTCCTCACCTAGAAATTTATAGGTTTCAGATCTGGTATCACCTCCAAGGTCGCGGAAACATCACCACACCCGACATGTTTATCTGGGTGTGTGATATATGGTACAAATATCGGAAGCCGCTGTGCGGGACAATGTGGGGATAGGGAAACGGCCTATGCAGCGATCACCGTCTAACCTGTCCAGCTATCATTGCTTTCTTTTGTGTCAGCTTGTGTCCGTGTTTAAGCTAGGTTGTTTGGGTCATGCGTGCTTTCCATTACTGCACAATGCAAATATTTGTACTACGTTCATCAAGTAAGTGTAATTTGAGCCGCTAGACATTATTTATGTTTGCGGTAACTTGGATTGCATGCGCTGGCCTCTGAAATGCCAATATCAAAATTCCTTTTGAAGCCAAGTATTGATTCCACCAGTCAGGATGCCACACACACTCGGAGACGCCATGAACGAGATTCGGCGCAAGGTGACATGCATTTGTAGATGACCTACATTCCACGCCGTGTGAAAGGCCTGCACCAGGTCAAATGAGGCCAAGAGTGTAGCAATGTATCGCAATGTTCGTCATAATGCGTATATACCACGCAGTGAGGAGCAAGGCTGAGCAATGGCATTACATATTGCAACTGCACTCACAATTCACAGGTGGTGGCACGGCAGCTCATAGGAGCTGCATGCAGGCATGATAAGTCAAGGTCATAGCCTCGCTTGACCTTTGAAAAATCGGTGCCGCCTACATGCAAGTGGTCCTGGCAAAGCTAGTTGAAAAATAAGTAATCACCAATAAAGTGTCCCTGCACAAACCACTGCAAAACTACGCCCGTCACCACTTCCCAGCTTCACACTGATCTGGCCCAACGTGGCCTTCACCAAATAAATTAATCTGTACAATTGGTCGCGTGTTCAATCGTCATGATGATGTTGATGTGGCGGGATTGTAGTAAAACATCTTGCAAATGCGGGTGAATACATCCTGCTAAAAGACCACAGGAGCATATTTTACCCGGCTTGACCTCTGATGACGTGGATTATCAACCTCCGACACAACCAGGCCGGGCACACAAAGTAACTCATCACGGCTGCCGACAAGTGAATTGAGTTGTCGATATGGCGAGGAACATGGCTGGCATGACCTTCACAAAAGGGTCCTTGTGAAGGTCATGCCTATTGTGAAGGTCTATTCATTTTGTGAAGGTCAAATGACCTTCATAAAATGAATAGGCCATGACCTATTCGGAAAGTGTTGAGGCATTAACAGGAAATGTAAAAATGTCATTTAGTCAGCTACCGACAAAATCAGCACGACAGATTGCATGATAACCAAATTATTAAGGAAAACCTCAAGGGCGGGAGGAACGGGCTGTCAGGCTCCCATCGTCGAACAAGGGTTGAAGGGGATGTTCCACATTTGTGTGGGGTTTTGAACTGAACTAGCCATCTTGACGATCATTCGGTGCGGTCCACAGTCCTGTCCTTATTAAGGCCTCAACCCTTCTAGGTTATGACCTACACGCCCGCGAAGACGTGCAGACTATTTCAGGGAGACTATTTCAAGGACACCCAAACATGCGTTCCGCCACAATCACGTCATTTAAATACTGCCTATCCCTTGGGCGTGCGGCGAGCGGGGCCAATATAAATATAATTGTCGAGTCGCTCACATCTAAGTTCGTGAGCACGATTCTCAGACATAACGAGCATTCATTGGTTATCAATCAATGTTGTGCCAGGTATGATGACGTTATCAAACAATGAAGCATTGGGGGGGGGGGCATATTTATCAAGCAGAGGAACGGCGTTGTCCAGAGCCGCCTTTTTCACTTGAAAGAACACCAAGGTGAGATTATTTCATCATATTTGATGCTTGCTTCAATATCTTCAAATGTGGAGCGGAACAACGAACATTCCCTTCAAGAGAAGTGTACTACCTTTTGCGCATATTTCGAAAGCATACTCTGGTAAAATCTCGTAACCATTTGCCTTGTAAAGCAGTACAATGCATCACCTTCAAGACATAATGAGGGGATCAATTTTGTTTTTCAGGTCAAAATTACGTTGTCAACGCTTTGTAACGACACTCTGCTTCCTTCTTGCAGTAGTCGCGACCGCCGTCGTCATGACAACCGCCGTGGCATCTCTACTGGCGCGAACAGAAGAATGTTCGTGATTGGCCCAGCGGGCGACAAGGGCCTGTTACAGAAAAGTACACTGGTTGAAGTTTGAACAGTGCGTCACTGTGGACCATGTCGTACTTGCATTCCCAAAGCTACTGTGTGCCTCGAAAAGAGCAGCTGTGGTGAACGCAATAGGGGAGAACACAAAGACACAGTACAACGCTTCGTTGAATTCGCGGGATAAAAGTCTCAAGTTTCAAGAAACAGATTGTTTCAAGCTTTGACAGGATATATGGATATTTGGATATTTGATAAGATATATACACAAATATTTCCACACATTGGGGTGTTGCGAATATCACAGAACACGCACGTTGGAAAAAGCAAAGCAAATGAAATGCACTACTTCATAGAGATGAGCAGGAAACCATAAGATTTCTCCCGAAGGGTCGGCTACTTCACGTCAAAACTCTGAGCTATTCAAAACGGTTTCGAGAAAACTGGTATTGCTGATCAAATTATAAGCGTGTGATCAGAGTAGGTTAAAAGTCCAAAAATAGCGGCGTATTCCCATTAGAGGTGTTCGTGCAAGGCTGTAATCGGAACCATTCGCGGAAAAAGGACACCACACTTCATATTAAGCAGCCTGTGTCATTTTATACGTCAGTTTGAAATGCCTCGAAGCTGCCCACGAGCAATACGTTTTGCTATGTTAAGATGGAGCAAGAACGGTTGTAATAAGCTGATTGTTATGCTCATCTTACTACCTTGGTTTAATTCAAGGTAGAAGTGGTGCGGCTCCAGGAACGCCCTATTCTCAAAGACGATGCAATTTGGTCCTCTAACCTGAAACCCCAGCTTGCAAACAGCGGATGACAGGTGACAAATTATCTCGCACATAGTACGCCGTGAGATGCGTCACTTTTCCCTTCCTCCGGACCTTAAGTGTCCAACACGGAATGTCCGATGGCTGCTGATGAATGAGTGGCGCCAGCGCCATGCCAGGAACGGAATGTACCGCATCCTACCGCGCACCGTC